GCCCCCAACTCGCTCAGAGGCTTCTCATTTCCCCTACGCTCTCCTCCCACTGAGCCATATGCTAACATTAGCATGAGCAGAACTTCTTGTAAGCTGTACAACAATCACTGATGAAATGGTTCAAAATATACATTGACAAGTTGATTTCTTCTTTGATCATTTTTTGGCTTTAGTTCCCTCTTCTCTTCCTCACTGTTGTGTGGTTTGGGCTGTTTTGCTGTGTCTGCAGTTACAGCCAGAGCAGGTATTGCCGCTCTCAGCTCCATGCTGCTGTGTTTACCAGCGCTGTAGAGGCTAGAGGAGGCGTGGCCTCTTTGTAACGTTCCTTGTTCTGTGATTGGAGGAGAGCGAGCATCAGTCTTTTTACGGCCTGAATTCATACACAGCTCAATCAATGAGCTCAAGATTTCAATTAAATTACGGATTTTAATACAACTTGTGTGTAGTACTAAGCATTTTTATGAACTCATAAAAATAAAAAAAATGGGTATACTGTAGCTTCTTTAAAGTATCCTGGATCATCACAGTCCTTCTTGTTAGACTGTAACTGTCCAACAGACTCAGCATCAGAGGAAAGACTCTAAAACCCAGTGGGAGAAAAGTGAGAAACCTCAGATCCACATTGAGAGAGGACGGGCTGTAGATCCAGGACTCAGACTGTCGAACGAGGACTGAGGCTGTAGATCCAGGACTCAGACTGTAGAACGAGGACTGAGGCTGTAGATCCAGCGCTCAGACTGTAGAACGAGGATTGAGGCTGTAGATCCAGGACTCAGACTGTAGAACGAGGACTGAGGCTGTAGATCCAGGACTCAGACTGTAGAACGAGGACTGAGGCTGTAGATCCAGGACTCAGACTGTAGAACGAGGACTGAGGCTGTAGATCCAGGACTCAGACTGTAGAACGAGGACTGAGGCTGTAGATCCAGCGCTCAGACTGTAGAACGAGGACTGAGGCTGTAGATCCAGGACTCAGACTGTAGAACGAGGACTGAGGCTGTAGATCCAGGACTCAGACTGTAGAACGAGGACTGAGGCTGTAGATCCAGGACTCAGACTGTAGAACGAGGATTGAGGCTGTAGATCCAGGACTCAGACTGTAGAACGAGGACTGAGGCTGTAGATCCAGGACTCAGACTGTAGAACGAAGACTGAGGCTGTAGATCCAGGACTCAGACTGTAGAACGAAGACTGAGGCTGTAGACCCAGGACTCAGACTGTAGAACGAGGACAGAGGACACACACTAAGATGGACGTCAGTGTGTGTTTGAGTTTGTTGTGTGTTGTTTGTTGTGTGTTGTGTGTTGGCAGTGGCTCCTCTTCATATCAATAATCTTTGACATTTCCTGCTGTTTTATGTTTTTCATGTCCTGTGCTGCTCTATGAGTTGCCCCTGGTGGGATAAAGAAAGTGAATCTGAATCTTAATCTAAGTTTTGCTTCTTTATATATTTTTATTTATTTATATCAGACACTTCAGGAAAAAGTGTCTGAAAAAAAGGAACAAAAGGAATAAAGTAAGATTATGATGAAGAGATCCTTTTGTCGCCCACAGTGAAGAAATGGAGGAATGAGGAGCACAAGATAAATTAATGATATTGATTCAATCTGAAGAGACCAAGACAGAGCAGGAGCCAGAGCAGGAGGCAGGAGCAAGAGCCAGAGCAGGAGCTAGGGCAGGAGCCAGAGCAGGAGCCAGAGCAGGAGCCAGAGCAGGAGCCAGAGCAGGAGCTAGGGCAGGAGCCAGGGCAGGAGGCAGGAGCAAGAGCCAGAGCAGGAGCTAGGGCAGGAGCCAGGGCAGGAGGCAGGAGCAGGAGCCAGAGCAGGAGCTAGGGCAGGAGCCAGGGCAGGAGGCAGGAGCAGGAGCCAGAGCAGGAGCTAGGGCAGGAGCCAGAGGAGGAGCAGGAGCCAGAGCAGGAGTCAGAGCAGGAGCCAGAGCAGGAGCCAGAGGAAGAGCAGGAGCCAGAGCAGGAGCCAGGGCAGGAGCCAGAGCGGGAGCCAGGGCAGGAGCCAGAGCAGGAGCCAGAGCAGGAGCCAGAGCAGGAGCCAGAGCAGGAGCCAGAGCAGGAGCCAGGGCAGGAGCCAGAGCGGGAGCCAGGGCAGGAGCCAGAGCGGGAGCCAGAGCAGGAGCCAGGGCAGGAGCCAGAGCGGGAGCCGGAGCAGGAGCCAGGAGCAAGAGCCAGAGCGGGAGCCAGAGCAGGAGCTAGAGCAGGAGCCAGAGGAGGAGCCAGAGCAGGAGTCAGAGCAGGAGCCAGGAGCGTGAGGAGGTGCTGGGGATGTTTATCAGGAAGTAGCTGCTTTTAAACTGCCCGCTTTGCTGTCAGTGGGTTGGCAAGAGGCTGGCCGGGCTGTGATTGGCTGAGGCTCGGGGCTGGCAGATCTGTGTGATTGGCTGGCTCTGGTGAGAGCTGTGGCCGGTCTTTCAGTCTGAATTTGCGCTTCAGCTTCATTAAGATATAATAAAATCTCAAACTCTAGCATAAAAAGAAGCAGTCTAAAATCTCTGTGGCACGATGAAGAAGCACGACTTAATTAGTGAGTTTTTTAGTGAGTTTGATGATCCAGGACACTTTAACATTCTACAACATGTATGGACATTTGATTGTGTGTGTTGTTACATGTACATCAAACAGAAAACAAGCTACTGTAGTCAATGGAAAGAAATCGTCTTTATTGCATCGTACACTAGGGGTCCCCCAAGGGTCCATCTTGGGACCTATTTTATTTTCACTGTTTATAAATGATTTACCGGATGTTTGTAAGGATGTAGACATTCAACTATACGCCGATGACGCGGTGATTTATACAACTGCAAAATCATCTGAGGAAGCAGCCCAAATTCTTACATCAGCCCTAACTCAAATCCAGCATTGGCTTACTCGATCATGTCTTCAGCTAAACGCACAGAAAACAGTCTGTATGTATTTCTCAAAAAAAAAAAAAACTTTAATATTGCCCGCTCCAATGTATATTTTGGAGAGCAAGAACTGCAATTAGTTCAAGAGTTTAAATATCTTGGTGTTTTGTTAGATTCTACGCTGTCCTTTAAAAATCATGTTAAAATGATATCAAAAATAATTAGATTTAATGTGTCCAACTTCAACCAAATACGCAGGTCAATGACTGATCAAGCTGCTATGATGTTTTTACATAGTATGATCTTTTCGCACGTAAGCTACTGTATAACTAGTTGGTCTCTGACAGGTGTAACGATTCTTAAACCAATTGAAAGACTTTATAAAAAGGCACTGAAAATCCTTGATAAAAAACCATTTGGTTACCACCATTGTAATATCCTCTCCAAATATAATTTATTGATCTTTGAACATTTCATAACATTCAAAAACTGTTGTCTAATTTATAAAAGCTTACATGGGTTGGTTCCACCACCCCTAACAAGATATTTTAAATACAGAACAAGTGCCTCGAGAACAACTCGGTCCATGAGCAGAGGCGACTGTGAGGTTCCTGTGAGGAAAACCTCTTTTGGTCAAAATGTCCTGTCCTATAAAGGCAGTGTTTAGTGGAACAAACTACCAACCACTGTGAGGGAGGCAATCAGCTTCAAATCATCAAATTTCAACGTAATGAAATTTTAGATTTTTATAAATCCGTAGCAATTAATGAATTAAGTCTTCCCCTGGGTTTGTGGAAGTGAACCGCCTTCGCTCCCATTTTCTGCCTCACCCTTCCCTGTCCTCCCTGTCCTCTGTCGTGTCCAGTCTTTTGTCATTGTATTTGCCTGAGATCCCTAATGTTCTTTGTACAGTATATTTGAATGTGTATCTTGTGGTCCCATTGTTCCTTGTCCTGCAGTCGTTCTGTTCCTGTACTGTCTTGTGACTTTCTTTTGTGTCATTGTTAAATGTTCAATGTGAAGTTTCACATCAGCCTGTCTAGGGACAACAGATGGAAATTAGCCTATGGCTAAAATCTGACATATTTACATATTTTATATGTTCATTAATATGTACTGTCCCTACTTAAATAAATAAATAAATAAAATAAATAAAATGTGTTGTGTGTGTTGTTACATGTGTGTTGTGTGTTGCAGGAGAGTGTGTGGAGGGGCTGGCAGAGGAGGACCTGGTTCTGCTTCACTCCTGTCGTCAGTGGACCACAGTGACGGCCCACAGCCTGGAGGAGGGACACTATGTCATCGGACCCAAGATCGACATCCCCCTCCAGTACCAGGGTGAGCGCACACCATCAAACACCATCAAGCACCGTCAGACACCATCAAACACTCTGACAGTTCTGTGGGTTCTGCTTCTCCTTCTCTGGTCTCTCTCTGGTTCGTCTCTGGCCTTCCTCTCTGGTCTCTCACTGGTGTCTCACTGGTGTCTCTCTGGTCTCTCTCTGGTCTCTCTCTGGTCTCTCACTGGTGTCTCACTGGTGTCTCTCTGGTCTCTCTCTGGTCTCTCTCTGGTCTCTCTCTGGTCTCTCACTGGTGTCTCACTGGTGTCTCTCTAGTCTCTCTCTGGTCTCTCTCTGGTCTCTCACTGGTGTCTCACTGGTGTCTCTCTGGTCTCTCTCTGGTCTCTCTCTGGTCTCGCTCTGGTCTCGCTCTGGTCTCTCTGATCTCCCCAAGCCCCGGTGATCCAAGATGGCGCCCTATTCAAATGAATGGCTTGTGCTCAGCAGCGCATTGTGCCGGCACGGTCGCTGACCTATTAGATCTATGGGAAACTCGCCTGTATTTGGGCATCGTCTGGTCCTCCCGGTTCTGGGCAGTGGATGATCTCCCATAATGCGTTGCGCCAAATATGCGCGTGTGTGGCATCATGCACGTGCACAGAGGGGCTCGGCCGCGCTCTGACCAATCAGAGCAGTTCATCAGAGCGGGAGTTAGAGCGGGAGCCAGACAGGCAGAGTTTGTTGCACTAAAGTCTGGATTTAAACAAAACCGAAGGATTTAAAGTGATAGTCTGTAACTCTAAATGAATTACAAATTTTAGGAAATGTGTCAAATTGACCTCTTGGCCTTAAATGCTGATATAAAATAAGTCATTTTATTAGTTCTAATATTACGGTAAGTCCCGCCTTCCCTTCTCTTAGCTATAGTTCAGAATCCACGGTGCCGTCCACGTTAACCAATCGAGTCATGCCAAGGACTGTCAATCATCTGCGCTGATGCTCGCAGCTGCTCATGCTCAGTTTGTTTTCACGGAGCCTCCGAGTCAAGCCTCTATTAGGCTCTGGAACAACATGAAAACTGAACAAAAAATTCTGAACATCCGCGCTGAGGTACTTATGTATATACTGAACATATATCCATAATCATTTATATACTGAACCTATATCTATAATCATGTATATACTGAACCTAAATCCATAATCATTTATATACTGAACCTATATCCATAATCATTTATATACTGAACATATATCCATAATCATTTATATATGAACATATATCCATAATCATTTATATATGAACATATATCCATAATCATTTATATACTGAACCTATATCCATAATCATTTATATACTGAACCTATATCCATAATCATGTATATACTGAACATATATCCATAATCAAATCCTCTGCAGATGTGTCCTATAATGTGCAATTCATGATAATAGCACTTCCTGGTTTGCCGCGATCGTTTGTGTGCATAAAAACATTATTTTTTTCATTAAAACGTTCACAAATAATTCTGAAAACCTCCGTGCATGTGTATTAATAATGTTTATGTACAGTATAATGTGTTCTCTGATTAACATTTCAAAGTGTTACGGAAACGTAGGTGTAGACCAATCAGAAAGGAAGGGGGAGGAGCTTGCGTTGTTTTTTTCAAATCAAGTACCTCTCTCTCTCTTTCTGACAAACTCCAGACAATCACTTTAAGAAGAAAAACAGTTCAGGACAACAAGGGTCACTACAATCCCCACAAAATCTGACCTTTATGAAAGCTGTAGGTTCTCTGTCAGGTTCTCTGTCAGGTTCTCTGTCAGGTTCTCTGTCAGGTTCTCTGTCAGGTTCTCTGTCAGGTTCTCTGTCAGGTTCTTTGTCAGGTTCTCTGTCAGGTTCTCTGTCAGGTTCTCTGTCAGGTTCTTTGTCAGGTTCTCTGTCAGGTTCTCTGTCAGGTTCTTTGTCAGGTTCTTTGTCAGGTTCTCTGTCAGGTTCTCTGTCAGGTTCTCTGTCAGCTGAGGTAGCCCACGTGAATTTAGTCTGGTTTAGTCTGCAGAACCGCGAGAATCTCCCGAGCACATGCTCCCTCAGCTCCAACCCTATCCAGTTATTATAATAGATCCATGGTTAGTCGTGTGTGTTTGTAGTGTTACGGGGAATTTACACAGTAGGCGTAAACAGCGCGTACGCGTTTACTGCGCGCTCTCTGCGCGTAACATTTTTTTGGAGTATCTACACAGGCCGTGCAGGTCCGCGTCTTCTGATGTTCTCCCTGTGTAGTCTATGGAGCAGTGTAGAGGACAGTACGGGCCAGAGGACTGATGTAGAGCAACACAAATCATATGCATGTGTTTGTCCTCATGGTCTCTGTCCTGGTTTGGCCAGACGTGAGCCTTTATGAAAGAAAAAAAACCATGTCCAGAATCACTGTAAAACCTGCTGCTCCTCCTGCTGATGTTTAGACACAAGTGCTGTGTGTGTGTAGATGTGATCTAAAGCCAAGGACCGCTAGAAAAATCATGTTTTACATGAGATTTCAATGGGAGACGCGTTGCTGCGCGCACACAATTAGAAATCCATCCTAAATTAGAGCGCAGCTTCGCGACATATGTCCGTCATATGCGTATAACGCTAGAAGTGTAAATATCATCATAGGTTAACATGGAAAAAAGTTACGCGCGTCTGCTGCGCGTATAACGCGTACGTGCTGTAACGCGTGATGTGTAAATTAGCAGTTAGCCTTATCGCGGAAAAAGCCGATTTGAACACAAGCTGGAGCCAATTTCCTTAAATGGACATTTCTCTTGTGGTTTTATGTGGAGCGGTTGCTAAGGAAAGCTGGGGATTCCCCTGCAAATGAAGGAATACGTTTGGTCGATCCTCTTGGCTCATATATGGTGAAAGTGTGCAATAGAATGAAAAGTGAAAATGAGCAAAAGCGTCAGTACGACCGGTTCATTCATTCAGCTAAAGCGGCTGCAGTGAGTGAGACACAAACAACTCAGTAGGAGCCAAAGAGAGTGGAAACAAAACTTTGTCCATGAGCACTTTCCTATAGGGCTTTGTCCATCTGTGTCCCCGTTGCAGAGAGACACACACACTACACACACTCACATACACACACAAGCGCTGACATGCTTCACAGCAAGAAGGTCCTGGGTTCGATTCCACCTCTAGATCTGAGTTTGCATGTTCTCCCCTTGTCTGTGTAGGTTTCCTCCGGGTGCTCCAGTTTCCCCTACCACAAAAAAAAATGTACAAAGCTCCTCTCTCTCTGAGGCCGGGACTCCACTGAAACTCTGAGACTCTGTAATGTCAGTGGTACTTACCTGGTTATATACATACACATACACACAAACACACACACACACACACACACACACACACTTGCTCATTCATCTCCTCCTGTGCTGTTGACCTTGGTTCTCAGCTCATTGACGGCTCTGTCTTCTTTCTGAATGAGCGTGTGTGTGTGTGTGTGTGTGTGTGTGTGTACTGTATATGTGTGTGTATGTGTGTGTGTAGATGACCTCACTGCTCATCTTCCTAGTGTCCTTTCAGCAGTGGTTGTAACTGGATCTTGATGCGGCTCTTCCTCTGATGATGTCACTGCCGCCTCTCGGACTGAAAACACACACACGTCACCGCGGTTACCTCAGCAGGAAGTCTTTAATACTGTGATGGTGAGGATGAGGAGGGAGTGATGAGGAAGGCCAAGGTGTGATGTAATCCCTCTCAAGTACAATACAAACTGCTAAACTGTGTAAATTGAAATGGGGAAATCAGATTATAAGTAAATAACTAATCAGATGGGAGACCTCTGGGAACACCGGGTGCCACAGTGGGGCGGCTGCGGCTGTAATGTGCCAAAATGTTGTTGTGTCGTTAGTGGGACTGAGGCTGTAGATCCAGGACTGAGGCTGTAGATCCAGGACCGGACCGAGGCTGTAGATCCAGGACTGAGGCTGTAGATCCAGGACCGGAGTGAGGCTGTAGATCCAGGACCGAGGCTGTAGATCCAGGACCGAGGCTGTAGACAGGACTGAGGCTGTAGATCCAGGACTGAGGCTGTAGATCCAGGACCGGACCTAGGCTGTAGATCCAGGACCGAGGCTGTAGATCCAGGACTGAGGCTGTAGATCCAGGACTGAGGCTGTAGATCCAGGACCGGACCGAGGCTGTAGATCCAGGACCGAGGCTGTAGACAGGACTGAGGCTGTAGACCCAGGACTGAGGCTGTAGATCCAGGACTGAGGCTGTAGATCCAGGACTGAGGCTGTAGATCCAGGACCGAGGCTGTAGACAGGACTGAGGCTGTAGACCCAGGACTGAGGCTGTAGATCCAGGACTGAGGCTGTAGATCCAGGACTGAGGCTGTAGATCCAGGACTGAGGCTGTAGATCCAGGACTGAGGCTGTAGATCCAGGACTGAGGCTGTAGACCCAGGACTGAGGCTGTAGATCCAGGACTGAGGCTGTAGATCCAGGACTGAGGCTGTAGACCCAGGACTGAGGCTGTAGATCCAGGACTGAGGCTGTAGATCCAGGACTGAGGCTGTAGATCCAGGACTGAGGCTGTAGATCCAGGACTGAGGCTGTAGACCCAGGACTGAGGCTGTAGATCCAGGACTGAGGCTGTAGATCCAGGACTGAGGAGGTTCCCAGCGTGGGAGGAGGCGGCCTCACAGGCAGAGGAGCACAGATCCAAGCGTTTCACATGCGATGACATCACCGCTATGCACAAAATGGCTATAATTTGACATGTTTTGAGTGTTGTATGATGTATCAGCCACAATATTATCACACAGAGGATGGACTGTGAAACATGGAGAAAAGCAAAATATGGAACCTTTAATACCTGTTCATAACAGTTGTTTCTGTTGTTTCTGCGAGAGAGAGAGAGAGAGAGAGAGAGAGGTGGTGAGCTCATGTCTGATGACTTCATGCAGGAAGTGTAAACAAACATATGCAGACGCAGTAACTGTAGGTTTTCCCTGAGGAGAGACCACAGGATGCTTCTCTCTCGCTCTTCCAGGTTCTGACTTTCACTTTCACCGTCCCCCCCACGCCCTATGTTACCTGCTCCCACTGATGTCTGCTGTCATTGTGTCCATGGGCAAGACACTGCTGAAAGACCAAGGCTGTGTCTTTGTTGGACAGAGAAGCCATCTTCCCGTGAACCCGCCCCCTGCAGGAGGACCAGTGAGGGGCTGGTGCTTCGGGAGGACCAGTGAGGGGCTGGTGCTTTAGGGGGACCAGTGAGGGGCTGGTGCTTTGAGAACCAGTGAGGGGCTGGTGCTTCAGGAGGACCAGTGAGGGGCTGGTGCTTTGAGGAGGACCAGTGAGGGGCTGGTGCTTCAGGAGGACCAGTGAGGGGCTGGTGCTTCAGGAGGACCAGTGAGGGGCTGGTGCTTTGAGGAGGACCAGTGAGGGGCTGGTGCTTCAGGAGGACCAGTGAGGGGCTGGTGCTTCAGGAGGACCAGTGAGGGGGTGGTGCTTCATGAGGACCAGAGGGGCTGGTGGTTCATGAAGACCAGAGGGGCTGGTGCTTCAGGAGGACCAGTGAGGGGCTGGTTCTTCAGGAGGACCAGTGAAGGGCTGGTGCTTCAGGAGGACCAGTGAGGGGCTGGTGCTTCAGGAGGACCAGTGAGGGGCTGGTGCTTCATGAGGACCAGAGGGGCTGGTGCTTCAGGAGGACCAGTGAGGGGCTGGTTCTTCAGGAGGACCAGTGAGGGGCTGGTGCTTCAGTAGGACCAGTGAGGGGCTGGTGCTTCAGTAGGACCAGTGAGGGGCTGGTGCTTTAGGAGGACCAGTGAGGGGCTGGTGCTTCAGGAGGACCAGTGAGGGGCTGGTGCTTCAGGAGGACCAGTGAGGGGTTGGTGCTTTGAGGACCAGTGAGGGGCTGGTGCTTCAGGAGGACCAGTGAGGGGCTGGTGCTTCAGTAGGACCAGTGAGGGGCTGGTGCTTCAGGAGGACCAGAGAGGGGCTGGTGCTTCAGGAGGACCAGTGAGGGGCTGGTGCTTTGAGGACCAGGCGGCAGCTCCCGACACATTTGCCTCAGAGCTTTTTGTAGCTGCACATTATGTGTCAGATGCAGGTTGAATAATGTTGTTGCTTTTAGGTGAAAGTGTTTATATTGAGAGAACAAGCTGAAAAACATGTTTTCCTTGAAGCGCCGCTTGCTGAAAACCGAAGTTTGTGAAAGCAGGAGCTGTGTGTGTTTCGAGCTGGGGCTGCAGACTTGGTTCAGGGGTGGACTCGGATATGGGGTCATTTTAACTGACTGAAGAGTGAGTTAGTGTTCAAACAGTTTTATCAAAAGTATATATTTTACTCTTACTTTCTGTGAATATAACTTGAAATACAAAAAAAAACAGTTTTTGAAAGGCTTATGCTAACTGCTAACAATAAACTATCTGTTGCTATGGTAACTAGCATGCGTCAAGTGAATTTTTCTTTGCAGCTGTGGACAACATTACATGCACAAGAAACTACCAACGAATTTATAATAATACATCACTATAGAGATAAAAAAAAAAAACATTGATCAATTTATTTAATTAATCCAGATTTAAATATATAGTGTCATTTTCAATACCAAAAAAATACTCAATACTATACAGTCATTTAAGCTTTTTTAACTTCATATGTTAAAGTTAGTGGCATGCTGGGGTGAAGAGGGGAACTGTGTGTGTGTGTGTGTGTGTGTGCGTCTGTGTGTGTGTGTGAGGATCTCCATGGTTACGTGTCTATGCTTTGCCTGAGAATGGGCTCCTTTATGGGTTACCATGACGACCTGGTCAGTGGACGGAGGGGTGCCTGGTCAGAGGTGGTGTCGGGGTCTGAGCCACAGACTGTATATAGATGGACAATGCTAACGGGCTAGCTCAATGAACCCCCATAATGAAGCTTTGCTCTGGTTCCCATTGACTTTCATCGAAATGTAAACACCTGCAGCCATTGGTCCACAGGGAGCAGGTGACCATTGTCCAGAAATACTGTGCGTGTTAGAGATTTTGAAGCAACTGTGGTTAAAGTTAAACTCATCATTTTAACAATACGCGCGAGGCAGTTCTTTTCCACTGCATGTTTTGGTTTATCTCAAGGTTTAAACTACTGGCACGTTGGCAGCTGCTGATTGGACGGTCTATGATTCTTCCTGTATAATAACACTTTATTCTGTGACATTGTTGTTCGTGCTGTCTCTACCATCGGCAATAAAACACATCTGCTGTCTGAAGGAGAGACACGATCCCAGACTTTGTTTTATTCTTCAGTCCTGGTCCTGCTGTAGAACCAGGACTGAGGCTGTAGAACCAGGACTGAGAATGTAGAACCAGGACTGAGAATGTAGAACCAGGACTGAGGCTGTAGATCCAGGACTGAGGCTGTAGACCCAGGACTGAGGCTGTAGATCCAGGACTGAGGCTGTAGACCCAGGACTGAGGCTGTAGATCCAGGACTGAGGCTGTAGACCCAGGACTGAGGCTGTAGACCCAGGACTGAGGCTGTAGACCCAGGACTGAGGCTGTAGACCCAGGCAGGGGGTGTAAATCAACACCCAATCACACATCTGTGGGTGTCTCTCTGTGTCTGTAGGTATTAGGTAATCATGTGTGTGTTGTCTGTACATAAACATGTGTGTGTTGTCTGTACATAAACATGTGTGTGTTGTCTGTACATAAACATGTGTGTGTTGTCTGTATGTAAACATGTGTGTGTCTGTATGTATTATGTAATCATGTGTGTGTTGTCTGTACATAAACATGTGTGTGTTGTCTGTATGTAAACATGTGTGTGTCTGTATGTAAACATGTGTGTGTGTCTGTATGTAAACATGTGTGTTGTCTGGATGTAAACATGTGTGTTGTCTGTATGTAAACATGTGTGTGTGTCTGTATGTAAACATGTGTGTTGTCTGGATGTAAACATGTGTGTTGTCTGTATGTAAACGTGTGTGTTGTCTATATGTAAACATGTGTGTTGTCTGGATGTAAACATGTGTGTTGTCTGTATGTAAACATGTGTGTGTGTCTGTATGTAAACACGTGTGTTGTCTGTATGTGAACATATGTGTTGTCTGGATGTAAACATGTGTTTGTTGTCTGTATGTAAACATGTGTGTTGTCTGTATGTAAACATGTGTGTGTGTCTGTATGTAAACATGTGCGTTGTCTGGATGTAAACATGTGTGTTGTCTGTATGTAAACATGTGTTTGTTGTCTGTATGTAAACATGTGTGTTGTCTGTATGTAATCATGTGTGTGTTGTCTGTATGTAAACATGTGTGTGTCTGTATGTAAACATGTGTGTGTGTCTGTATGTAAACATGTGTGTTGTCTGGATGTAAACATGTGTGTTGTCTGTATGTAAACATGTGTGTGTGTCTGTATGTAAACATGTGTGTTGTCTGGATGTAAACATGTGTGTTGTCTGTATGTAAACGTGTGTGTTGTCTGTATGTAAACATGTGTGTTGTATGGATGTAAACATGTGTGTTGTCTGTATGTAAACATGTGTGTGTGTCTGTATGTAAACACGTGTGTTGTCTGTATGTAAACATGTGTGTTGTCTGGATGTAAACATGTGTTTGTTGTCTGTATGTAAACATGTGTGTTGTCTGTATGTAAAACATGTGTGTGTGTGTCTGGATGTAAACATGTGTGTTATCTGTATGTAAACGTGTGTGTGTTGTCTGTATGTGAAACATGTGTGTGTGTCTGTATGTAAACACGTGTGTTGTCTGTATGTAAACATGTGTGTTGTCTGGATGTAAACATGTGTTTGTTGTCTGTATGTAAACATGTGTGTTGTCTGTATTTAAACATGTGTGTGTGTTGTCTGGATGTAAACATGTGTGTTATCTGTATGTAAACGTGTGTGTGTTGTCTGTATGTAAACATGTGTGTTATCTGTATGTAAACATGTGTGTGTTGTCTGTATGTAAACATGCGCGTTGTCTGGATGTAAAAATGTGTGTTGTCTGTATGTAAACATTTGTTTGTTGTCTGTATGTAAACGTGTGTGTGTTGTCTGTATGTAAACATGTGTGTTGTCTGTATGTAAACATGTGTTTGTTGTCTGTATGTAAACATGTGTGTTGTCTGTATGTAAACATGTGTGTGTTGTCTGTATGTAAACATGTGTGTGTTGTCTGTATGTAAACATGTGTGTGTTGTCTGTATGTAAACGTGTGTGTGTTGTCTGTATGTAAACATGCGTGTTGTCTGTATGTAAACGTGTGTGTGTTGTCTGGATGTAAACATGTGTGTTGTCTGTATGTAAACATGTGTTTGTTGTCTGTATGTAAACATGTGTGTTGTCTGTATGTAAACGTGTGTGTGTTGTCTGGATGTAAACATGTGTGTTGTCTGGATGTAAACATGTGTGTGTTGTCTGTATGTAAACATGTGTGTGTGTCTGTATGTAAACATGTGTGTTGTCTGTATGTAAACATGTGTGTGTGTCTGTATGTAAACATGTGCGTTGTCTGGATGTAAACATGTGTGTTGTTTGTATGTAAACATGTGTGTGTTGTCTGTATGTAAACATGTGTGTTGTGTGTATGTAAACATGTGTGTGTTGTCTGTATGTAAACATGTGTGTGTGTCTGTATGTAAACATGTGCGTTGTCTGGATGTAAACATGTGTGTTGTTTGTATGTAAACATGTGTGTGTTGTCTGTATGTAAACATGTGTGTGTTGTCTGTATGTAAACATGTGTGTGTTGTCTGTATGTAAACATGTGTGTGTTGTCTGTATGTAAACATGTGTGTGTTGTCTGTATGTAAACATGTGTGTGTGTCTGCACAGGGAAGTTCAAGCTGCTGGACGAGGACCGTGACGTGAGGGACCCAGTGCAGTTCTTCTGCAGTGTGGAGGAAGTGGCTGGAGCTTTCCCCGACCGAGTCTTTGTCATGGAGCCCATCACCTTCAGCGTCAAGGTCCGCTTCTCTCTTCACTTTCTACAGTTCAGTGTATTCTCTCATCGCTCTAAATCACATCAGTCGTTATCTCTGAGGACTTCACACTACCTCTGAATGCTGCAACACAGAACAGAGAATCAAACCGTTCAAACACAAGATGCACCTTACATTGTGTGCACCATGTGCACTTGTATATTGTAAATAGTAACTGTAACTCTATTTTAAATTTAAATTTATTCCTTAGAAGTGTTTTTTATTCTTTATTCTTTATTTTTTATTATCTCTCTCTGACTGTTGCACTGAGCCAAAGCAATTTCCAAGTCTGTGACTTCCTGTTACTTACGTGGCAATAAAAATTATTCTGATTCTGATAGAAAACACATTGGTTTTGGTTCATAAGTGTTGATAAATGTCCATAAGTGCTCCACAAAGGATTCAAGAATAATTCCCAGTCATTACATGTCTATTTTAAGTACAAATGTTTTCATGAATGCAGGGATACTGTACTGTCGTGGTCTATTATACTGTACATGTGTGTTCTCCGTGATTGGCTGAAGTTATTATGTCAATCAATCAAATGTATTTATGAAGCACAATCCATACAGTCTAATCCAAAGGACAGTATAGACCACATTTTTCCGCACCAGCGACATTTGAAAAGCAAGTTCATTTTGTCCACATATAAGACACACTGGAATATAAGCCTCATGTTTTCAGGTTTGTTATGTAGCCTTAACTAACAGCTAATAGAGTAAAGCCATAGACTATTCGGAGTGGACTGAGTGTGACATCACCATATTGTTAGCTTTGATGCAGAAGAAGCTGATTTGAACATAAGCCGGAGCCAATTTCCTTAAACTTCTTCTACAACGTTAAGTTTGTGCCTTAAGAGAGGTAGATGTGTTGCCCAAGGTGGTTGCTGAGGTCTCTTTCTGGTCTCTCTCTGGTCTCTATCTCTGGTCTCTGCCTGGTTCTGTCTGGTCTCTCTGCCTGGTTTCTCTCTGGTCTCTCTGTCTGGTCTCTATCTCTGGTCTCTCTGCCTGGTTTCTCTCTGGTCTCTCTGTCTGGTCTCTCTCTGGTCTCTCTTTCTGGCCTCTCTCTGGTCTCTCTCTGGTCTCTCTTTCTGGTCTCTCTCTGGTCTCTGCCTGGTCTCTTTCTCTGGTCTCTGTCTCTGGTCTCTCTCTGGTCTCTCTCTGATTTTTCTCTCTCTCTCTCTCTCTCTCACTCTCTCTCTCTCTGAGCTCTCTCTGGTCACTCTCTGTTGTCTCTCTCTCTTGTCCCTCTCTTTGGTCTCTCTCTGGTCTCTATCTGGTCTCTTTCTGGTCTCTGTCTGGTCTCTGCTTGGTCTCTCTGTCTGGTGTCTGCGTGGTCTCTCTCTGGTCCCTCTCTGGTCTCTCTCTGGTCTCTCTCTGCTCTCTCTCTGGTCTCTGTCTGGTCTCTGCTTGGTCTCTCTGTCTGGTGTCTGCCTGGTCTCTCTCTCTGGTTTCTCTCACTTCAGCAGTCATGAGTTCAGGTGATTAGAAAAGTGTATAAGGTGTGAGGGTTTTACAGCTTTAAAACAAACAGCTGCTCCTGAGAGATTTATTGTGGGTTATTTTTAGAACACATCACCCCTGTCACAAACCAGGGACCAGGGCGATACATGTTTACAGTGAGAAGTAGTTTGTAGATTGAATAAAAGTTGGATAAGATAAATACTTTGTGTGTTGCAGGTTGTGTCTGGGGAGTTCAGTGACGACAGTGAGCAGTACAGCTTCAGTCTGCAGGCGGGAGACGAGCTGTCACTCATGGGGAAGGCGGAGCTTCTGTGTGCCACGCCCTCCAAGGAGAAGACCGGACTGAGCGCTCTGCTGCGGCGCCTGGGAAAGACCCCGAGGAGTGAGTACCCCCCGCGTCACCACAACCCTAACCCAACTATGGTCACATGGTCTCACACTGAACACACTCCATAGATGTAAGTCTATTAAAGCTGGGTTATGTAGGTTTTCTCAAATGTTTCACACAAGATTGCAAAACTGGATGAAATATAAATCAAGTTCAAACAGAGACCGGAGAGAGTAGAGAGAGACCAGAGAGAGAGATCAAAGAGAGAGACCAGAGAGAGAGACCAGAGAGAGACCACAGAGAGAGACCAGAGAGAGGCCAACAAGAGAGCCCAAAGAGAGAGAGACCAGAAAGAGAGTAGAGAGAGACCAGAGATAAAGTAGAGAGAGACCAGAGAGAGAGATCAAAGAGAGAGACCAGAGAAAGAGACCAGAGAGAGACCAACGAGAGAGCCCAAAGAGAGAGAGACCAGAAAGAGAGTAGAGAGAGACCAGAGAGAAAGTAGAGAGAGACCAGAGAGAGAGATCAAAGAGAGAGACCACAGAGAGAGACCAGAGAGAGACCAACGAGAGAGCCCAAAGAGAGAGAGACCAGAAAGAGAGTAGAGAGAGACCAGAGAGAGAGATCAAAGAGAGAGACCAGAGAGAGAGACCAGAGAGAGACCAGAGAAAGACCAACGAGAGAGCCCAAAGAGAGAGAGACCAGAGAGAAAGTAGAGCGAGACCACAGAGAGAGACCAGAGAGAGACTAGAGAGAGGCCAACGAGAGAGCCCAAAGAGAGAGAGACCAGAAAGAGAGGAGAGAGAGACCAGAGAGAAAGTAGAGAGAGACCAGAGAGAGAGACCAGAGAGAGACCACAGAGAGAGACCAGAGAGAGACCAACAAGAGAGCCCAAAGAGAGAGAACACAGAGAGACCAGAGAGAGAGACCAGAGAGAGGCCAACAAGAGAGCCCAAAGAGAGAGAGACCAGAAAGAGAGTAGAGAGAAACCAGAGAGAAAGTAGAGAGAGACCAGATAGAGAGATCAAAGAGAGAGACCAGAGAGAGACCAGAGAGAAAGTAGAGAGAGACCACAGAGAGACCACAGAGAGAGGCCAGAGAGAGAGAGACCAGAAAGAGAGTAGAGAGATACCAGAGAGAAAGTAGAGAGAGACCAGAGAGAGACCACAGAGAGAGACCAAAGAGAGAGAGATTCTCTGATCTATGTTGGTGAATGGACAGCGTTGCAAAGTCCTCTGAGATAACTACTGTTGTGATTTTGGGCGATACAAAAATACATTGAATTGAATTGAATTAAAAACAGCAACAAATACCAACAATGTACGATTTTGAAACTACCAGGACTTGTTTTCCGTTCGTCGTTAATCATTGTGCCAAGACCAAGACCTACAGGCAAAGTGCTCTGATCTTGTGCTGTGTGCGCCTCATTCCTACTGCTCTGTAACCGGTGATGCAACACTGACATTTCCCCGCTGTGGCACCCATACAAGATCTCTTCATCTGAATCTTAATCTTTATCCTAATCTCCCTGTATTCTGTGGCAGGTAAAACCCCGTGCCTGGTCTGCATGAACCACCGCACCAACCAGAGCGTGAGCCTGCCGTTCGCCTGCCGCGGCCGCTTCTGCACGCGCTCGCCTCTGGAGCAAGGCATGCTGGGAGGAGAACACACCGTGAGGAGCATCATCGAGCGCGTCCGCCTCCCTGTCAACGTCTCCGTGCCGACCAGGCCGCCGCGCAACCCCTACGACCGCCACGCCGTCCGAGAGGGCCACCGCTACAAGCTTCTCAACATCGTCAGCAAGACCGTGGTGCTGTGCCTGGTCCTCCGCCAACAGGAAGTCTCGCCCTCCCACTTCCTGTTGCTGAGGTGTATGCCCAGGTTCAACGTCGCGGAGGCTTCTGTCCACACGGCGGCGCTAGAGAGCTTGCTCCTGCGACACGCGTTCGACCCGGATGCGTACTCGCGGGCCGTGAGGGAGACCAGGCCCGAGCTGGAGGTGATGACGGAGGAGTGCACGAGCCCGCGACGGTCCCGTGTGTGCGTGGGACAGAACTCGCTCGCCCCGGCTCTGCAGCGTCTCTCCATGTGCGGCTACGTGGGGGGAAGGGGAGGCGGGTCGGACTCGGTGGGGGAGGGGCCGGGTGAGGAGCGGGAGTACATGACGCCAGAGTGGGCAGACGCAGACCTGAGGAGCAGCGAGGAGATCCCGTATGAGGAGCTGTGGGCCAGCCAGAACACGGAGAGTCTGGGGAAGGAGGCCAGTATTATTTCTATCCACTCGTCGTCGGCGCTGGACGGGTCTCTGGGCACCGTGGTGACCCAAGTGTCCACCCGAGTGTCCACCCCGCCACCTGTACCTCCCAAATCAGATGCTGTGAGTGTCTTTGGATCTGTGCAGAGTCTGTATCCGGTCTTTAAAAGTCAGGAGGCTGCCCTGAATTATTCATACGACAGAGCTTTCACCTCCAGCACACACACACACAGACACACATAGACACACACAGAGACACACACACACACACACACACACACACAGAGACACACAGACACACACATACACACAGAGACACCCACACACACATAGACACACAAAGACACACAGAGACACACAGACACACACGCACACATACACACACACAGAGACACCCACACACACACAGACACACATAGACACACACAGAGACACATAGACACACACAGAGACACACACAAACACACACACAGAGACACATAGACACACACATACACACAGAGACACACACACACACACACACACAGACACACACACACAGAGACACACACACACAGACACACATAGACACACACAGAGACACACACACACACACACATACACACACACACACACACAGACACACACGCAGACAGAGACACACACACACACACAGACACACACACATAGACACACACACAGACACACATACACACACACACACACATAGACACACACACACACACACACACAGACACACACACAGAGACACACGCACATAGACACACACACACACAGAGACACACACACACATAGACACACACACACATACACACACACATAGACACACAGAGACACACAGACACACACGCACCCGCACACATACAGACACACACACACAGAGACACACAGACACATAGACACACACAGAGACACACACACACACAGACACACACAGACACACACATAGACACACAGACACACACACGCACACACACAGAGACACACATACACACACACACACACAGACACACACTCTCGGTCTTCCTGGAAAGGCCATTCCCAGGCTAATGCTTGTGTGACGCGCATACATCCTGGTTAAATGCAGCTCCTGTGACAGAGATGGCTTTTCCGGCTGTTGCTAAATATAGTATGATTTTTAAAACATTATCACTCCATAAAAGTTTATTAAAGCTGGGTGATGTAGATTTTCTAGAACACTCCACACTGACCTGCAAAAAAAATATAAAACATGAGGTAATAATTGCGTAAAATCAAGTGTTTTTAAACCCAATTTTACTTTTTTTTTTTAACCAGGGATTTCAGAATCTCGTTTTGAGGGGAGTCCTGCTGGAGCACCCAGAGGAAACCTTCTCAGATCATTTTCACACAAGATTTCTCTTTTTAAAAAAAAACTGTGATGAGGAATTTATTTGACGTGTGTTTGCAAAAAAAAAATAATTGAAATGAAATTAGTTTTTTGCTTTTATGTATTATTTGTTTTTTTCTCCGAGCCACAGACAAAGGCCATCACAGAATCAACTAGATCTTTAAGTGAATCTAGAGTTTCTGACTAATTTGTTTCTACCTGTGTGTGTGTGTGTGTGTGTGTGTGTGTGTGTGTGTGTGTGTGTGTGTGTGTGTGTGTGTGTGTGTGTGTGTGTGTGTGTGAGTGTGTGTCTGCACAGTACATGTGTGTATTTTTGTACAGTGTGTGTCGGTTTGTGTGACCCTGCCTCTATCTCCTCCCTACATTCAATTCAATTACATTTATTCTTGTATCGCCCTAAATCACAGCAGTTCTTATCCTGGAGTACATTACAAAACTGTCCTTTTTAGAGTCGCTCTCTCTCTCTCTGTTCTCTCTTTTTGGTCTCTCTCTGGTCTCTCTCTGGTCTGTCTCTCTGGTCTCTCTCTCTGGTTTCTCTCTGGTCTCTCTCTGGTCTCTCTGGTCTCTCTGGTCTCTCTCTGGTCTCTCTCTGGTCTCTCTCTGGCCTCTCTCTGGTCTCTCTCTCTGGTCTCTCTCTGGTCTCTCTCTGGTCTCTCTCTGGTCTGTCTCTCTGGTCTCTCTCTCTGGTCTCTCTCTGGTCTCTCTCTCTGGTCTCTCTCTGTCTCTCTGGTCTCTCTCTGGTCTCTCTGTCTCTCTGGTCTCTCTCTGGTCTCTCTCTGGTCTCTCTCTGGTCTCTCTTGGTCTCTCTGGTCTCTCTTGGTCTCTCTCTGGTCTCTCTCTGGTCTCTCTCTCTTGGTCTCTCTCTGGTCTGGTCTCTCTCTCTCTGGTCTCTCTCTGGTCTCTCTGGTCTCTCTCTGGTCTCTCTCTGGTCTCTCTCTCTGGTCTCTCTCTGGTCTCTCTCTCTGGTCTCTCTCTGGTCTCTCTCTGGTCTCTCTCTGGTCTCTCTCTCTCTGGTCTCTCTCTCTGGTCTCTCTCTCTCTGGTCTCTCTCTGGTCTCTCTCTCTGGTCTCTCTCTGGTTTCTCTCTGGTCTCTCTCTGGTCTCTCTCTGTAACTCACATTTACACAGACAACACAATCCACTGACGACACAATGTCTCGTGTGTGTTTGTGGTGTAGGTCAGAGAGGAGTGCCGGTACCTGATTGCTCCTCCTGTTCCCCCTCGCTGTTCCAAGACCGGGTCCATCCCCAGTCCTGCCCCCAGTCCACCGCTGCCTCCACGCTTCCCTAAGGCCCCCACGTCTCCAAGACCCAACCTGTCCTTCTACTCCTCTGGACTCCAAGAAAGGTACAAGATTTTACTACGCTGGTCTATGGTTCAGGACAGGGGTGATGTGTTCTCAAAATAGAATATGATAAATCCTCTCAGTAGTTTGTTTTAAGGCTGTAAAATCCTCACACTTTTATAACCACCTTAACTTACTGCTGAAGAGAAACCAGAGAGAGAGACAAGAGAGACCAGAGAGAGTGAGAGACTAGAGAGAGACCAGAGAGTGACTAGAAAGAGACTAGAGAGACCAGACAGAGAGAGAGACTTGAGAGAGAGGCCGGAGAGAGACAAGAGAGCGACTAGGGAGACCAGACAGAGAGAGAGACCAGAGCGAGAGAGATCAGAGAGAGAGAGACCAGAGAGAGACCAGAGAGTGAGAGACTAGAGAGAGACTAGAGAGCGACTAGAGAGACAAGAGAGCGACTAGGGAGACCAGACAAAGAGAGAGACCAGAGCGAGAGAGATCAGAGAGAGAGAGACTAGAGAGAGACCAGAGAGCGACTAGAAAGAGACTAGAGAGAGAGACCAGACAGAGAGAGAGACCAGAGAGAGAGACCAGAGAGAGACCAGACAGAGAGAGAGACCAGAGAGAGAGAGACCAGCCAGAGAGCGACTAGAAAGAGACTAGAGAGAGAGACCAGACAGAGAGAGAGACCAGAGAGAGAAACTCCCTATAATCGCCACGATGCACACAAGCCACAAAAAGTGTTATTATTATTTGATGGAATGATGTTGTTGGAGAAACGCTAAAACGCACATAAAATCTGCATAACATTGAGGCCGTGAAAGACGACCCTTAATTTCTAATTCCTTTTGTCTGTGTTCCAGCTGCCCTTCCCCTGACGCCTCCATGTACTGTTACCCCTGCTCTTGGGGAGACTGTCCCGCTCCCAACCCCATCAGCCCCGACCCATCGCCCGCCCCACCCGCAGACACCTCAGCCAATCCGCAGCCAGCACAGGCCACGTGGGCGGAGCCATGGCCCGAGTCGTTCTCTGGACCAGGACTCAGACCGCCTCCCCCTCAGAGCCGCTTCGCCCCCTTCGGTGCCCTGAACCCCTACAACCGGCCCTCGCCCTGTCCCTCTCCGGAGCCCTCGGAGTCCTCCCGGGGGGCGGAGGGGGGCGAGACTTGGACCCCGCCTCAGGACCTGTCTGCGCTCTCATTGGAGGAGGTGTCTGCCTGTCTGCGCTTCATCGGCCTATCAGAGGCGGCCGTGGCTGTGTTTCAGAGGGAGAGGATCGACGGGCGGCTCCTCGTGCAGCTCACGGAGGATATCCTGTCCCATGACTTTCACCTGAGCCGGCTGCACGTCACCAAGATCACACAGTTCATCCAGGGCTGGAGGCCGAAGATCTGAGCTCTGTCAGACCTGCAGGGGGCGCTGTGGTTAGGCTCCTGTACTGTGGGCCTGAGGCTGAGAGGGGAGAGGAGGAGAGAGCAGATAGAGGAGAGAGAAGAGAGAGAAGAGGGAAGAGAGAGAAGAGGGAAGAGAGGAGAGAGAAGAGAGAGGGGAGAGAGAAGAGGGGAGGGAGAGGAGAGAGAGAGAGAGAGAAGAGGGGAGAGAGAGGAGAGAGAGAGAGAGAAGAGAGAGAGGAGCGAAGAGAGGAGATGAAGCTTTTTTACTGTATGTATCTGTGTGTGTGTGTGTGCGTGTGTGCGTGTGTGTGTGTATGTATGTATCTGTGTGTGTATGTGTGTGTGTGTGTATTCTCAATTAGTTCTATTTGGGAAAAATAAAGTGTAAAGCAAACTCCTCAAGAATTAAAAAAATAAGGAGACACAAAGCACAGTACAGGAGCTTAAACACAGCAGTGGGTTTTGGTCCTCGTCCCCGTCCTCGTCCTCGTCCATGTCCTCGTGCCTCTCACCACACTGTGCCTCCAACTGTGAAGCAGCACTGAGCCCAGAGACTGAAACTCTGCCCCCAGTGGCCGAGTGGCGAACTGAAATATAGCATCTTGTGTTCAGAACAAATTGTATTGAGAGTTTACAAAGCTGTCGTCAGCACTATTCTAATAATCCATCAGAGAGAGAGAGAGCGAGAGAGAGAAAAAGAGAGAGGGAGAGAGAGCGAGAGAGAGAAAGAGAGCGAGGACTCTTCATGACTGGTTGAATTTAGATGTTATAATGAGTCCTCTTCATGTATTACCCAAGTGTAAAAGGATTTTCTATGAGCAACATGTAGGCTAAGCTAAATATGCTAATTATTTAATATATCTCAATTAATCAAGTCAAAATAAAACGCTAAAACGTCCCATGCGGTTGATAATAAATGAAACGACTGTGTATTTGTCACATGTGATAAGGAGAAAGAAGAAAGAATATATAAGATACTTTGAATTATTATTAAAAAGTCAAACCACAGATGTTTAAGCCCAAAATGGTGAGTCTGAGCTCGAGGAATTTACTTTTACATCAATAAGAGCCAGAGAGAGGGAGAAAAACTTCGTCCATGAGCACTTCCCTATTGGGCGTTACTGAGCTAGCGGGTTAGCATTGTCCATCTGTATACAGTCTATGAACCATAACGACACATATGAAAACAAGATTTTATCAAAATTTTCAACGCAAGGTTTGAAATCTTTTATGAAATGTGTGGTGATGATGTAAAACGTTGCAACACTGCACTTTCAGTAGTGTGACTAATGATGGAACTACTGCTGTTCAATAAAATGCAAACTTTTGGAGAACATGTGACTCACAACAGATTATATTTTTTGCTCTAGACCCAGGACTGAGGCTGTAGACCCAGGACTGAGGCTGTGGATCCAGGACTGAGGCTGTGTAGACCCAGGACTGAGGCTGTAGACCCAGGACTGAGGCTGTAGACCCAGGACTGAGGCTGTAGACCCAGGACTGAGGCTGTAGACCCAGGACTGAGGCTGTAGATCAAGGACTGAGGCTGTAGACCCAGGACTGAGGCTGTAGATCAAGGACTGAGGCTGTGGATGCATGACTGAGGCTGTAGACCCAGGACTGAGGCTGTAGATCAAGGACTGAGGCTGTGGATCCAGGACTGAGGCTGTAGACCCAGGACTGAGGCTGTAGACCAAGGACTGAGGCTGTAGACCCAGGACTGAGGCTGTAGACCCAGGACTGAGGCTGTAGACCCAGGACTGAGGCTGTAGACCCAGGACTGAGGCTGTAGACCCAGGACTGAGGCTGTAGACCCAGGACTGAGGCTGTAGACCCAGGACTGAGGCTGTAGACCCAGGACTGAGGCTGTAGACCCAGGATGTAGATCAGTTTTGTACAAAGTTATAGTTGATACATTTGTATTGGGATTTCTTTAAGATTTCAGACTCATTGTTATTATTATTAACTTGTTATATACTTGTAAAATGTTTATTATCGGAGAGATACTTATTTTAAATGAAGATGTATTTTTTGTTGGACTAGAGAATAATGTCAAACAAACCCACCACCCAGACAGGGAGTGAAGCCTGGTCCAAAACACTGCGCTGTTGTCGCCCTCTACTGGACAAGAGCGGTATCCCCTTTCAAAGGATGGAGAGACAGAGGACACACAGCCACAAAGTGCAGCAGTATTAATTTATTTGTTACACTCTGTGCACACACAAGATACACAGGTATATGCAGACCTGAGAGAGACCAGAGAGATAGACCTGAGAGAGACCAGAGAGAGACCAGAAAGAGAGACCAGAGAGAGACTACAGAGAGACTAGAGAGAGACCAGAGAGAGGGACCTGAGAGAGACCAGAGAGAGACTAGAGAGAGACCAGAGAGAGAGCAGAGAGAGAGCAGAGAGAGACCAGAGAGAGACTAGAGAGAGAGACCAGAGAGAGAATAGAGAGAGACCAGAGAGAGACCAGAGAGAGACCAGAGAGAGGGACCTGAGAGAGACCAGAGAGAGACCAGAGAGAGACTAGAGAGAGACTAGAGAGAGACCAGAGAGAGAGACCAGAGAGAGACTAGAGAGTGACCTGAGAGAGACCAGAGAGAGACTAGAGAGAGACCAGAGAGAGACCAGAGAGAGGGACCTGAAAGAGACCAGATAGAGGGACCTGAGAGAGACTAGAGAGAGACCAGAGAGAGATCAGAGAGAGAGCAGAGAGAGACTAGAGAGAGACCAGAGAGAGAGACCAGAGAGAGACTAGAGAGAGACTAGAGAGAGACCAGAGAGAGACCAGAGAGAGGGACCTGAGAGAGACCAGAGAGGTCTTAATTTTGGTCACAAATAGTCAAAACACAAAGATTCCAGAGAGATACCACATTGTTAAACTTTTTATGCATTATTTTAAATTGCTTAATAGTGTCATCTTCATTAGTTCACACTTTAATCCCATTTTGCAAACAGTATAACGAGAATATTATTATTTCATCCTTTTCCCCACTAGACTCTTTATATTTATCAAAATAAATATAAAGAAAACATTGAACAATAGATGATGGTCCCACAATCAGAAACTCAAATAGTTCTGTGGACATGCAAACACAGAGTTCAGTGTTTGTTCTGCTTCTTTCCCAGAATGCACCTCTCTTCCTCGAGTCCCCTGATGACCTTGTGCTTGAGGGTGAGGTCTTCAAACCGACCTCCTGGAGCTGGCGTGGGGCAGCTGCGGCGACAGCTTGGACAGAGTGGCGTCTCGCTCACAGGACTTCAGAGCCTTCTCCTCCTTTGGGCTCAGACTGAAGAGGACCACGTCTGGAAACACAGGATGAAGAGATCGTTTACACCTCCCACAGCGGGAGAGCAAGAAAGACAAGAATAAACAACAGATGATTGGTGTGAAATTATGCCATTCATTCATTCATATTTGTTTCATTTGGGGTGTTTTAAGACTTGTCTGAAAACTTGGCTGGCCCAAAGTTGTGTGTGTGTGTGTGAGAGAGATCAGAGGGAGGACAAAGAGAGAGAGAGAGACAGAGAGAGAGAGACAGAGAGAGAGAGAGAGAGAGAGATCAGATGGAGGACAAAGAGAGAGAGAGAGACAGAGAGAGAGAGACAGAGAGAGAGAGAGAGAGAGAGAGATCAGATGGAGGACAAAGAGAGAGAGAGAGACAGAGAGAGAGAGACAGAGAGAGAGAGAGAGAGAGAGATCAGATGGAGGACAAAGAGAGAGAGAGAGACAGAGAGAGAGAGAGAGAGAGACAGAGAGAGAGAGAGACAGAGAGAGAGAGAGAGACAGAGAGATCAGATGGAGGACGGAGAGAGAGAGAGAGAGAGAGAGAGATCAGAGAGAGAGAGAGAGACAGAGAGAGAGAGAGAGAGAGAGATCAGATGGAGGACAAAGAGAGAGAGAGAGAGAGAGAGAGATCAGATGGAGGACAAAGAGAAAGAGAGAGACAGAGAGAGAGAGAGAGAGAGAGAGACAGAGAGAGAGAGAGAGACAGAGAGAGAGAGAGAGAGAGAGAGAGATCAGATGGAGGACAAAGAGAGAGAGAGCGAGAGACAGAGAGAGAGAGAGAGAGAGAGAGATCAGATGGAGGACAAAGAGAGAGAGAGATAGACAGAGAGAGAGACAGAGAGAGAGAGAGAGAGAGAGACAGAGAGAGAGAGAGAGATCAGATGGAGGACAAAGAGAGAGAGAGCGAGAGACAGAGACAGAGAGATCAGATGGAGGACAAAGAGATAAAGAGATAGAAACTAGAGAGAGAGAGAGAGAGAGACCAGAAAGAGAGTCCAGAGAGAGACTAGAGAGAGAGACCAGAGAGAGACCAGAAAGAGACCAGAGAGAGACTAGAGAGAGACCAGAAAGAGACCAGAGAGAGACTAGAGAGAGAGACCAGAGAGAGAGGGAAAGACCAGAGAGAGACCAGAGCGAGAGACTAGAGAGAGACAGACCAGAGAGAAAGAGGGAGAGAGAGACCAGAGAGAGAGAGAGACCTGCGAACTAATTACCGCTGTGTACTTTCCCAATTGTCTGACAAACGATAAAACAATTATTAATATGTAGTTGTACTTGTTCAGGCGCAGTCAGTGTAGAACGGGGTTAAACAGAGATGAATAAAAGTAAAATATACACAGACGTTCAAATCCAAACTGAATAATACATTACAATAACTACTCGACAACAGAAACAGATGTCATCACTGAAGCTTGTGGAGACTACTCTGTTGGACCAGATCTCTCCCATCACCTCCTCCTCCTCCTCCTCCTCCTCCTCCTCTTCCTCCTCCTCCTCCTCCTCCTCCTCCTCCTCCTCCTGCTCTGTCTGCAGCTGCTCTGACAGGGTGTTCACCTCCACAAAACACAAACACTGATTAATCCAGGGGAACGTGACAGCGAGTCAACACTGTCACCTGCAGAATGTTGTTGACGTGTGTGCGCTTGTCTCCTCACTCTCACTTTGGATCCAGGATCATGGAGCTGAACGAGTGCCACAGCCGCCTACAGTTCAGAGCCGAGTGTAAGACGGGACAGAGCAAAGATGGAGTCAGATGGAGGCGCTTGGACTACAAAATTACACTATATATGTGGTGGTGTGTTATGGAGCTCCTGTCACACACACAAGATTCAGATACATTTTATTTGCCATTTGCAGTAAAACAAATTGGAATACATACAAATATATACAATGGAACAAGATATTTAGAATACCAGAGAGACCAGATAGAGACCAGAGAGAAAGATACCAGATAGAGACCAGAGAGAAAGACCTGAGAGAGACCAGAGAGAGAGAGACCAGAGAGAGACTAGAGAGAGACCAGAGAGAGACCAGAGAGAGACCAGAGAAAGACCTGAGAGAGACCAGAGAAAGACCAGAGAAAGACCTGAGAGAGACCAGAGAAAGACCTGAGAGAGACCAGAGAGAGACCATAGAGAGACCAGAGAGAGACTAGAGAGAGACCAGAGAGAGACTAGAGAGAGACCAGAGAGAGACCAGAGAAAGACCTGAGAGAGACCAGAGAAAGACCTGAGAGAGACCAGAGAGAGACCAGAGAAAGACCTGAGAGAGACCAGAGAGAGACCATAGAGAGACCAGAGAGAGACTAGAGAGAGACCAGAGAGAGACCAGAGAAAGACCTGAGAGAGACCAGAGAAAGACCTGAGAGAGACCAGAGAGAGACTAGAGAGACACCAGAGAGACTTGAGAGAGAGATACCACATTGTTAAACTTTTTATGTATTTTTTATTATTATTACTTTTCTGTGTCATCTTCATTAGTTCACACTTTTTTCCCATGACGCTGTACAGCATAACGAGACTATTTTTATTTCATCCTTTTCCCCACTAGGCCCCTCTTGAGCCCAAAACAACACAATAACAAAAATCAAAATAAATATAAAGAAAACAGAGCTTGGACTACAAAATTACACTATATATGTGGTGGTGTGTCATGGAGCTCCTGTCACACACACACAAGATTCAGATACATTTTATTTGCCATTTTCAGTAAAACAAATTGGAATACATACAAATATATACAATGGAACAAGATATTTAGCAACACCATATACAGTAAATGCTCATATATAACAGATGTTTTTGTCTAGAGAAGACTCAGAGAGATTCTTATCCAGCATTTGTCTCCAGTAGGTAAAACTAGATAGAATGATAGATACCTGACGAGAACCAGGAAGTATCACATTAGTCCAGTTCTCAGGTATCCATACTGGCTCCTGTGGATCAGAGAATAGACTTTGTTACAAGTGTCTCCATGGCCTAATGTGGGTGAAGTGTCTTGCCTAAGGACACAATCACAGTTTGGCACTTTACAGCTGCAGCCGCCCCACTCTCTGGGAACGCCAGGGGTGGGTGGCCCCTGGTGTTCCCAGAGGTCTCCCATCACAGTACTAACCAGGTACTGCCCAGCTTAGCGTCATAGGTCTGACGGGATCTGGCTTTTGCATGCACACATTTATAAATAAAGAATATTTTCTGGGTTCCCATTTAGAAAAAAATGTATGAGAAAATATTAAGTCTTGTACATTTGTTCTTGTTCTTGAAACTTAAAACGAAGCGCAGTTTCTTGTACAGCCGGTGGGGACGCAAGAGAGTAGGGGAAGATCAAACAAGCGGAAGATTGTAGGGGTGTCTAAACATTTGCCTTTACATAAAATCCGACAAATCCAAATACACATAAGTCATTCACCTGTGTTCCGGGTCTAGTCTTATTATTATCACTGATAACCACATGTTTAAAAATAACCTAAATTTATTTAACGTCATGTAATTTCTTCATTGGTTGAACTTTGATTCAGGCATATTTAGGACAGCTAAAACGAACCGGTTTTGTAGTTCTCGGCTGGTTTTGTAGTCCTTACAGAGAGCGCAGTGCAGTGTGACTGACAGCGGACAGGGACCCGGTCTTTGCTTAACCACTACACAAATAAAAGGTAAAACACATTTAATATGTCTCTACAAATGTGTGGAGTGTGATTTCAATCTGATAAAGTCTATACGTGTCCCGGAACCATTTATATCTGTGTATGCCTGGCCTCTTGTTAGCTAATATGCTAATGTTGCTAACCTGCTGTCAGCTAAATTAGCCTCATTGGGAATCATAACAATTACGTGCTGAATTGTAAAAACTACAATTATGAAATGTTCTCTGTTATTCTTACTCTATCCCCGGCATTCTACAGGTCACAGTACTTTTTATACATAGTTGTGGGTTAGCTTGTAGGCTATGAATGTAATGTAGGTAAAGGGTCAGACAAGAGCAGAGGGCTGGACCGTGTGACCGTGACTGGCAACACACGCTGTAATAAAGTCATAATTTAATCACAATCGTTGTACTCCTCACACGTTTTAGTTATGTTTTATTTTGTCTTTTAATGATGTTTTCTTGGATGCCGTCTCCAGATAACCATGGCTATGTTACTCAACTCTGTGCGACGTTCCCCTCTCAACCCGTCTAAAGCAGTGCACTACGGTAAGGAGACGGTGCAGTGGTGGTGGTCATGTCTGCAGGAGGTGAAAGCCAGATCCATCGGACCGCTGAAGTTAAGCAGGGCAGGGTCTGGTTAGTGCTGTGATGGGAGACCTCTGGGGAACACCAGGTGCCACAGTGGGGTGGTTGTAAAGTGCCAAACTGTGGTTGCGTCCTTTGGCAAGACGCTTCCCCCACATTAGAATGAGTCTGGTGTGTGTGTGAATGGTTGGTGGTGGTGGGAGGGGCTGATGGCACACACTGGTTGCCTCGCTTCTGTCAGTGTGCCCCAGGGCAGCTGTGGCACCAGTTGTAGTTTATCACCGCCGTGTTTGGAGTGAAAGAATAATGACATGTGAAGCGTCCTTGAGTGTCCTGAAAAGTGCTGTATGAAACTGATGTATTATTATCTACTACTTGATATGACTTCATGGATCTTTGGTCTTATATATTGTTGCATTTTTTTCAGCTGCTCGCACTCTGAGCACAACATCTCAGATCTATGCACAAGGTAAGTTCACTGTTATATGTAAGTGTCGAGATCTGACTGCGGCAGCGGCGATCTCATGCACTTGTAACCCACAGTTTGTTTCCCAGCTCTTCCAGATAGAACTAAAGAAGCTTTTTGGATGATGTGTAGCAATGTGCATTAGGGCAGAGACGTCATTCCTTGAGATATTAACCACGTCGGTGCTTAATATATTGATACTAGTAGCAATGTTTAGTTGCAATATAGATATAAAATGGGCCTTAAATTCTTATTTTTGTTCATGTTTGTTCTAAGTCCAAAACATACAGGTCATATTCCACATAAGCTTTATTTATCTGGCGCCTTTCCCAGACCAGGATCACAAAGTGCTTCACAATTACATATAAATACAGTTTGTAATGTACGTTTAAAAGACAAAGAACAATTTAAACAAACTCTATTGAATGCAGTAAGAGAGGGTGTAAAAATAGGGTTGGGTGAAAGAGCAATAACAATATATTGTGATGGACATGTGATAATTTTCAATAGAAAATGGGGTCGAGAGAATGTTTAATAATGTGAATAATAGTGTATATAATAATTTCACTTCACTCTAAAGCTTGCATTGCTACAACGTCTCTTTGCTTTGTTCCTGTTTTGCAGCCCAAGTCAAAAGTAAAAAGACATTGGCTCGGCCGGGGGTGAAAAACATAGTGCTGGTGGAAGGAGTGCGCACCCCGTTCCTCTTGTCTGGAACAGCGTATGGAGCTAAACTTTTCATTCATCACTGTCTGACCGTAGACGAGATACATTTGTGACTTTATCCACTTCTGTTTGCAGATACGCAGACCTTATGCCTCATGACCTGGCCAGGGCAGCACTACAGTAAGTCCTTGTTTTAATATTTGCATTCATTTTATCTTTATTATGAGCCCTCAAACCGTTTAGCCACGGTTTGATATTAGCAAGTACCGTATATGTTTGTTGTTATGCAATTGTTCTCAAAAGATTTTCTTTTGGCAATAACTAACACTGTTTCTGTTCTTTAGGGGGCTTTTGCACAAGACCAGTTTACCAAAGGATGCTGTGGACTATATCATCTATGGAACAGTCATCCAGGAAGTAAAAACCAGCAATGTAGCCAGAGAGGTAAGCTAACCATTCACTAGACTTGGAGTTCTTCTTGCTTTTGCGTTTGATAATTGTGTTGTGCCTTTGACAGGCGGCACTCGGAGCTGGATTCTCCGACAAGATCCCGGCTCACACCGTCACCATGGCCTGCATCTCCTCCAACCAAGCCATGACGACAAGTTTGTCCCTATTTATTTATTTATTTATTTATTTATTTATTTATTTATTTATTTATTTATTTATGTATTTATTTATTTATTTGGGAGTCTGTTAAAAACACATACAAGACATTCAACTCAGTAGGTCTAGTACAAAATGATTAAAAAAATATTGACAAGAAGTGCTCTCTCTGGTCGGTCTCTGTCTGGGCTCTCTCTGTCTGGGCTCTCTCTGTCTGGGCTCTCTCTGTCTGGGCTCTCTCTGTCTGGGCTCTCTCTGTCTGGGCTCTCTCTGTCTGGGCTCTCTCTGTCTGGGCTCTCTCTGTCTGGGCTCTCTCTGTCTGGGCTCTCTCTGTCTGGTCTCTCTCTGTCTGGGCACTAGCTGGTCTCTGGTCGGTCTCTGTCTGGGCTCTCTGTCTGGGCTCTCTCTGTCTGGGCTCTCTCTGTCTGGGCTCTCTCTGTCTGGGCTCTCTCTGTCTGGGCTCTCTCTGTCTGGGCTCTCTCTGTCTGGGCTCTCTCTGTCTGGGCTCTCTCTGTCTGGGCTCTCTGTCCGGTCTCTCTCTGTCTGGGCTCTCTGTCCGGTCTCTCTCTGTCTGGGCTCTCTATCTGGGCTCTCTGTCCGGGCTCTCTGTCCGGGCTCTCTGTCTGGTCTCTCTCTGTCCGGGCTCTCTGTCCGGGCTCTCTGTCTGGTCACTAGCTGGTCTCTGATCTCTCTCTGGTTGGTCTCTCTGGTCACTAGCTGGCCTCTCTCTGATCGGTCTCTCTCTGGTCCCTCTCCGGTCTCTTGTCCCTCTCTCTCATCTCTGTTCTCTGCTCACTTTCTCTTGTCCCTCTGATTTTTCTCTCTCTCTCTCTTTATATATTATCCTTATTTCTTTGAAAAAAAAAATATCGGGTTAATTGTAGTTAAACACTCAGACTATTCCATATTTTTATCCCACAAATCAAAATGCAAAAGCTCCTCATTGTGACCTGGTCCTGCTTTTTAGTCTTCTTCAGTAATAATCTGGTTTTACCTTCTGTCCTCTCTGCTGCAGGTGCCGGCATGATCGCCGCCGGTCAGTGTGACGCGGTGGTAGCAGGAGGCGTGGAGTTCATGTCTGACGTTCCCATCCGTCACAGCAGAAAGATGAGGAAGACCATGCTGGCTCTGAACCGGGCCAAGACGCTCGGGCAGAGACTGAGTTTGATCGGCAGCATCAGGATGGCACACCTTTCTCCAGAGGTATTCAGGGCCACGTGCAAAGTACATATTTATATTCACCTGACAATAGAGTAGTCGCCTTTTAGAGGGATTTCTGTGTCGATTCACCAACACGGATCAGAAAATCAAACAAGAAATGCAATGATAAAAACACATAAAGCCATTGGTCCATAAGAGGCAAATTACCAATGTCTATAAATATCGTTGAATGTGGAGTGTTCTTGGAGTGAAAGCATAAACATTTGAACTTGGAAGTGTGGCGTGTTTTGCCTGTTGCTCTGCCAGTCTTGATTTTAAAGGTATACATCACGGGTGTCAAAACGGTCCTCAAAGGGCATTTTCTAAGTAAGTAAGCTTTATTTATATACCGCCCTTCACAGACCAGAGTCACAAAGCGGTTTACAATTGTTATTTTTTGGGCACTTGTCTCTCACTCCACACAGAGATGGGAGCGGGGTCGCCGAACAGGAGGCGCATGCCAGACCTATTACATATTTTTAGTGGTAGGGGAAACCGGAGTACCCGGAGGAAACCTACGCAGACACGGGGAGAACATGCAAACTCCACTCAGAAAGGCCCTGGTCCGGCCGGGATTCGAACCCAGGACCTTCTTGCTGAGAGGCAAGAGTGAAATCTGAAATCTTCCGGTTTAAAACTGGACTCACCCGAGGAAATGGGTGGAGTCTGGTGTGTTCCTGCTCAGGTTGGAACTAAAACCTGCAGCCACTTGGCCCTTTTTGAGGTTTGGTTTGACACCCCTTGTATAGACTGATAAATGGGTGGTTTAGTTTTGACGGGAGGGTTCCTTGGTGACGCACGATGGTCTAAGGACAGTGGTGATCCAGGACATTATTCACATTTCAGAACAGTCCTGTTGATTCTATCAGTGCTGTGATGGGAGACCTCTGGGAACAGCAGGTGCTAAAGTGGGGTGGCTGTAAAGTGACTGTGGTTGTGTCCTTAGGCAAGACACTTCACCCACATTAGAATCAGTCTGGTGTGTGTTTGAATGGTTGGTTGGTGGTGGGAGGGACCGATAGCACAGACTGGTTCTTTTGAGAGTCTGAAAAAGAGCTGTATCAAACCAATGCACTATTCTCTGATCTGACTTTTGACTTTGACAGAAATATTTGTATATTTTTGACTTGCCTGGTACAGTGTTGTCTGATCCACATCACTCTGCTCTCTTCGTCAGCTGCCGGCGGTGGCTGAGTTCTCCACCGCAGAGACCATGGGCCACAGCGCAGACCGTTTGGCTGCTGCGTTTGGAGTTTCTCGCCTGGAGCAGGACGACTTCGCTCTGCGTTCACACTCTCTGGCCAAGAAGGCTCAAGAGGAAGGACTCCTGCAGGACGTCATCGCTTTCAAAGTCCCAGGTGACGACAACACTATTACTTTAGCATAATCTGAGTCTAATGATGACTGTAAAAGTTTCCATATTCATATTGCCCCATTTCTGTCTTTCTGGTCTTTCCCTCCCTCTTTGTTTCTCTCTCACACTGTTTCTTTCCTTCTTTCTCACTCTCTCTCACTCTCATTCATTCATTGAAGTACTCAGAGTAGACATTAGCAGTGAAGTGACAGTAATGTGACGGTTGTAAAAGGCAGGGGTCAGAGATGATTGAGTCTGGATCGGACCAAACTTCACTTTCTTCCTCAACTCATCTGTTTAGACTAACCTACTCATCATAACCACACTCTCCTCTGTCCATGATGCTTTTAACTCTGTATTGTAACTGTGCTTTAACCGGTTTGCACTTTTTTACTTGTATCTAAGGCGACCTTGAGTGTCAAGAAAGGCGCCTAAGAAATAAAATGTATAAATATTATATCTTGGGGCCACTATGCGATAAATGAGCTGCTTTTAATCATTGTCTGTTTCTCTTTGTCATCAGGACGTGATATTGTTTCAAAAGACAACGGTATCCGCCCGTCGTCCAAGGAGCAGATGGCCAAACTGAAGCCAGCGTTTGTGAAGCCTCACGGCACCGTCACCGCTGCCAACTCCTCCTTCCTGGTGAAGCTACTCTCTATAGCACCGCTGCTTTCCAGTTGAATCCCTCTCACCTCATAACCTTTGATTCTTCAGACCGATGGAGCTTCAGCTGTCCTCATCATGTCCGAGGAGAAAGCTTTGGCCATGGGCTACAAGCCAAAAGCCTATCTCAGGTACTGTCCAGTTACTCTCCATCTCGGCACGGTGGCTGAGTGGATAGCACTCTCGCCTCTCAGCAAGAAGGTCCTGGGTTCGAATCCCGGTCGGACCAGGGCCTTTCTGAGTGGAGTTTGCATGTTCTCCCCGTGTCTGCGTAGGTTTCCTCCGGGTACTCCGGTTTCCCCTACCACTAAAAATATGTACAATAGTTCTAGCATGCGCCTCCTGTACTGGCCCCGCTCCCATCTCTGTGTGGAGTAAGAGACAAATGCCCAAAAAATGATAACAATTGTAAACCGCTTTGTGACCCTTGTCTGTGAAAGGCGGTATATAAATAAAAATAGATAGATAGAAATAGAATAGATCTCAATACATGGCCTAGTACATAGTCTTGTATGCTTTGCTTCTTATTAACCCCTTACCGGCCATTGACGTCTTTTTGTCTGAGGCTGGGATCCAAGATGGCGCCCTATTCAAATAAATGGCTTGTGCTCAGTAGTGTATGGGACTTCACGGAGACCGGGAGATTAGCAGAACTCGCCTATATTTGGGCATGGTCTGGTCCTCCCGGTTCTGCGCAGTTGACGAGCTCCCATCATGCGTCGTGGCAAACGTGTGTGTGTGTGTGTGTGTGTGTGTGGCTCTCATGCACGTGCACAGAGGGGCTCGGCCGTGCTCTGACCAATCAGAGCAGCAGCAGAGCGGGAGTTAGAGAGGGAAGAAAAGGAGCAGAGTTTGTGGCAGTAAAGTGTAGATTTAAAGAGAACCGAAGGATTTAAGAAGAAAAAAGTTCAGGATGACAAGGGACACTAAAATCCCCACAAAATCCGATCTTTATGAAAGCTGTAGGTTCTCTGTCAGGTTCTCTGTCAGCGGAGGTCGAGCTGTTGTTGTTAACATTGAGTTCAATGGGACTTTTTTTTTTTAGGGTAGCCCTTGTGAATTTAGTCTGAAGCACCACAGCGCCCCCTGTGCCCATGGGTGGGACAGCTGTAATCTAGTAATACCCTGTCCAGTTATTATTATAGATCCAATGAGGAGAACGCAACAAGCTAGAAACAAACTTATTTTTGATGATGAAAGTTGTCATAATCTTGTTTCAAATTTCTTTTAAAATCAGTGAATCTTCAAAAACCGCTGGCCTGCAATGAGCGGAGCCAAAGATGGAGATTTAATGTATTTGTGTTGTACTGTATAATACTTCAATACTTAACTATATACTACTTACTTATGTTGTGTTTTGTGCTCCTCATTCCGACTCTTCTGTAACTTGTAAATTCTTCTCTGTGCGAGGAATAAAGAATCTTTCATGTTGAATAATGGGATGTATTTCTGTCATGGCAGAGACTTTGTGTACGTTTCCCAAGACCCCAAGGATCAACTGCTGTTAGGGTAAGACATCTGTCAATCACAGGACATTTCCTGCTAGACTTTTAGCTGCAGTCGTGTATAAACCACATCAGGAAGTAGATTGTGTTCACATAAAGGCTGCATGTTAACCACAGCTGAACGAGCAGAACAATAGTTATTAATTTGTCATATACAGCTAGATTTTTCTCATATTTGAACAAACTTAACTTCATTGGGACTTATAACTTAAAATGTCAGACTACATTAGTGAGTCTCAAGAATCATATAAAAATAGTCCTGTAGTTTTTGTCGTCTCTGTTCACATAAACCATCTGTGAATTGGACACAGCTCTAACATTGAAAACATACATGTGTCTCCTCTGTCTCTTCTGTCTCTGTCTCTTCTGTCTGTCTCTTTTCTCTGTCTCTTCTGTCTCCTCTGTCTCTTCTCTCTTCTGTCTCTCCTGTCTCTCCTGTCTCTTCTGTCTCTTCTGTCTCTCCTGTCTCTCCTGTCTCTTCTGTCTCTTCTGTCTCTCCTGTCTCTTCTGTCTCTCCTGTCTCTCCTGTCTCTCCTGTCTCTTCTGTCTCTTCTGTCTCTTCTGTCTCCTCTGTCTCTTCTTTCTTTCTCTGTCTCTTCTGTCTCTTCTGTCTCCTCTGTCTTCTGTCTCTCCTGTCTCTTCTGTCTCTCCTGTCTCTCCTGTCTCTTCTGTCTCTTCTGTCTCCTCTGTCTCTTCTTTCTTTCTCTGTCTCTTCTTTCTTTCTCTGTCTCTTCTGTCTCTTCTGTCTCTTCTGTCTCCTCTGTCTTCTGTCTCTCCTGTCTCTTCTCTCTCCTCTGTCTCTTCTTTCTTTCTCTGTCTCTCCTCTGTCTCTTCTGTCTCCTCTGTCTTGTCTCTCCTCTGTCTCTTCTGTCTCTGTCCTGTCTTTCAGGCCAACATATGCTACACCTAAAGTTCTGGACCGTGCTGGTTTAACGATGGACGATATCGATGTGTTTGAGTTCCACGAGGCGTTTGCGGTGAGTTCTCCCGTTTCCGTTTTCAGTTAAATGGATCTGTATGTAATCTGTATGTAATCTGTATGTAATCTGTAATCTACGTTTCTCTGCGTTCAGGGTCAGATTATGGCCAATCTCAAGGCCATGGATTCAGACTGGTTTGCTCAGACTTACATGGGCAGGAAAGTGAAGGTAAAGTCTGACTCTGCGACTGTAGATCAGGTTTCTGGGACTCATTTGTTTATGCTAGTCCTGACCCAATGTTTCAATAATTACAAATTTATAATAACACATCCAAATGTGTAAAGAATATATCCAAAGTTCCTCAGTTTTATTATTATACATTATGAGGATCATACTCTGTCATAGTTCAAGCTTCAAGGTTCACGGAATAAGCTTTTTAAAAAGGGGCAGTGTACAACCCTGTTTCCACCAGCCCTACTCTACTCTACTTGACTCTGCTCTGCTCTGCTCTACTCTACTCTTCTTGGCCCTACTCTACTCTTCTTGGCCCTACTCTACTCTTCTTGGCCCTACTCTACTCTTCTTGACTCTACTCTACTCTACTCTACTTTTCTTGACTCTACTCTACTCTACTTCTACCTGGTAGTTTTTTCCATTACGCTTTAGTTCCTGGTACCGTATCCTTGCAACCAACCCACAACAAAGCAGAATTTCCTTGGTAACCATGGCTTCCAGCAGTGAATAGACCCCAGGATCAGTTCATCTCTAATTCAAACCTCCTGCAGCCTCCTTTAACATGTGTTTAGTATTGTTTTATTATTGAATGTTCTGTGATGTTTAGGTCGGGACTCCTCCTATGGAGAAGTTCAACCTGTGGGGCGGCTCCCTGTCTCTGGGACACCCGTTCGGAGCCACCGGCTGCAGACTGGTCACCACCGTGGCTCACCGTCTGCAGAAGGAGGGAGGACAGTACGGGCTGGTGGCCGCGTGTGCCGCTGGAGGACAGGTAACCGTGCGTTTCTATGGTAACGAGTGTGGGAATAAGATGGCTGTACAAGTGATCTGGCCTTGCGTAGGTCACAACGGCCCGATTGTGTATCTGCTGCTACGATTGTGTATCCGTGTTATGTTGTTTCAGTGTCTCTAGATATGACACGCATGTCTTTTGATGTGTGACATAACATTGACTATTTAAACCAGTGGTCTCCAGCCTGTAGCTCGCCAAAGGATATAGAAATTAACAAATCAAATAAGATATGTACCTAATATTTCAGATTTTATTTAAACGACATGTTAATCTGTGTGTGTCCTCAGGGCCACGGGATGCTGATCGAGGCGTACCCCCAGTGAGGTCTGACCCGGAACCCCAGTGAGGTCTGACCCGGACCAGACCTTCTCCCTGTACAGAACTCGCCATCTTTGCCTTTTTGGAAAGAAACCTGGGACAGAACCATGTGTTTGAGGAAACTAATGTAAATGCGGCTTTGCTCGGAGGCGGTTTAAATTCTAGCGTAATGTTTTTAAGGAAGATGCCTTTGATTTTTGTGAAGTCGACAAAAACTGATGTAACATAGATAAAAAGCACTCATGTTTATATGATGTATGTAATGTTTTTCTTACAAACTACTATTAAATATATTGACCAGATCTGGGTCCGTTTCAATACTCTGTGTGTGAGACCCAGAGAGAGAGAGACCGAGAGAGACCGAGAGAGACCGAGAGAGACCGAGAGAGACCGAGAGAGACCGAGAGAGACCGAGAGAGACCGAGAGAGACCGAGAGAGACCGAGAGAGACCGAGAGAGACCGAGACCCAGAGAGAGTGTGTGAGACCCAGAGAGAGAGTGTGAGACCCAGAGAGAGAGTGTGAGACCCAGAGAGAGAGTGTGAGACCCAGAGGGAGAGTGTGAGACCCAGAGAGAGAGAGCGACTCAGAGGGAGAGAGACTCGGAGAGAGGGAGCGAGACCCGGTGAGAGAGAGGGGGAGAGAGAGACAGTGTGAGACCCAGAGAGAGAGAGAGAGCGACTCAGAGGGAGAGGGACCCAGAGAAAGAAACCAATATTAAGGCCAGTCTATAATACTGAGCCTTCCTGGCATTTGGGCCTGTTTAGTTTCAATCCGAGCATCTGGACTCATTACGGTCATACAAATATAAACATAAATATCTAAACTCTTATTCAGTACAGATTAAAGGTCCACATACAGTACCTTTAAGATGATCAAAAGTCAGAAGCAAATGATATAATTAAACTTTCCACAAACACTTTTCTTTTCTCTGTTCTACAGTGTGCAAACGTTTACTTTCTCTTCTGTTAATGTTAAAGGAATGAGAACACACACACACACACACACACACACACCTGATAAACATACCAATCTGGGGTCTCAACCATAATTTAGTTTGAGACCCCTGAATTAGACAGTAGCCATTATCTTCTAGCAGTGACAGCCGTCTGAGCCGAGACACAGACTTCCCTCTCCTCCAGCTCATCTGGGGGAATCCAGTGGAGCCTGTATCCGCGAGCTCGTCCTTTCGGCAGAGGAACCTCATTTAGACTCCTGGAGATTTAGGATTAACATAAAAGTAAAAAAAATATTGTTAATAGTGTTTTAATTTATTCAATTTCACAGATCTTAATGTTTTATAACGACGGCACGGTGGCTGAGTGGTTAGCACTCTCGCTTCTCAGCAATAAGGTACAGGGTTCAAATCCCGGTCGGAACGTGGCCTTTCTGAGTGGAGTTTGCATGTTCTCCCCGTGTCTGCATAGGTTTCCTCCGGGTGCTCCGGTTTCCCCTACCACTAAAAACATGTACAATAGGTCTGAATGTAAATGAGAGAGTGAATGGATGGTGTTGGGTCAGAGGCTTTGATGGTCCAGTGTGTTCTGGACTCGCTTCTGTCATCACCGTGTGTGGAAGGATTGGAACAATATCTGACTCTGAACATTGTAAAGTGCTTTGGGTCTGTACCTTGGTCTGTAAAATGCGCTATATAAATAAACATTACTTATTTAAACACATACATCTGCAGTTCTGCTTATTTACATGTGGGTCTTTCATCTCTGTGCAGCACTTTGGATCAGAATGGAAAAGTACGGGACTGACTGAAGCTGTGCGTAATTGGAGGCGCTCTCAGAAGACAAACTTTTACAGTAGTTGAATTATTAAAAGCAGGAAATGTAAATCCTCATGTCTTCGCGCTTCTTCCGGCTCTCTCTGATGTGCGGGATCCCCTCCACGCGCTCCGGGGATCCTAACGCGCGTTTCAGGTGAGCGCCTTGTTAACATAACTTCAGTCAGACACGCGCGTTTAAAGTGTATTTAAAGATTTAATTCTCTTCGTTTAGGGAGAGCCGTGCGCGCAGACGCCTGGATGTGGTTGTTGCCGCAGACGCCGAGGCCTGTCACGTGCCGCCACACGCGCAGGGAATCATACTATCATGTTTTTGGTGCCGAGGCAAAACGGCAACTAAATGTAAATAGCGGAGAGAGACAGAGACAGAGAGGGGTTTTTGTGTTTTTAAAGCTTCAGAGGAAAGAAAAAAAACCTGGAGTCAAACCTGCGAGACGCCAGAGACACGCAGACGCACAGCGAGACGCACGCGGCAGTCTTTTTGGGGGGCGCGCGCCTCTCCGCCGCCCCTGCGTCTTTGATCACGGAGCAGCTTTTTATGGAGAATGACTGGTGAATGCACCCGCTGCTGTCAGGACAAATCTGCCTCAGTGAACGGGGGAGAGAGAGAGGGAGGAGGGGGTGAGGATGGGGAGGTACCTTTCATCTCGTCCTGCGCGCTGCACCTGCTCAAAGACGCGCTTGACTCCTGCTCCTCTGCTCCACGTGTTTTGCCAAGTTTCGGTGACTGTATGTATCTATGAGGCCTGTGTCTGCGGGTAATGACTGTGACTGCTGCGGTTTACTGTATGTTCACTGGAGCTGAATGTAAAATGTAAAATGTTGTTATGATCCTGAATGAGGCGTTAAGGGATTTTCAAAAAGACACCTGTTTTTTCCCCCTTTTTTGTCTATTTTTATTGCTCTTAAAAAAAGGCTTCCATCTCCTCAAACCTAAATCGTACTAGGCCTGGATTAGGATTAAATCAGACGCAAGCTGTGTTCAGACCGCCAACGCTGAAACGCTGAAACCTCGCTCACCAGACGCACATTCTCTAGTTTTCAGACACAGGGGTCTTCAGACCAGAGGTCCTGGCGTGTCAGAATTGCCGGAAGTAGCCGGCGGGCTTTGATACTAACAGAGTTAAGATAGCGGCTTCTTGTGTACAGATCTTCTCCAATATGCACTACTATGCAATATTCCACTGATGACTGCTGTTGTTGTGTCCTTGGGCAAGACACTTAACCCCACTTTGCCCAAAGCCCCCACTGAAAGATCAAGGCTATGCTCACAGTCAGAGAGCAGCCGTCGTCCTGTGGACTCACCACCTGCAGAGGGTCAGTGAGGGGCTGGTGCTATGAGACTTGGGTGGCATCTCTCATTGCCACCCCCCTGACCCAGAAATGGATTAAAGGGTAGAAAATGGATGGATGGACAGTATGTGTTCACGGAGGTGATTTTATTATCAAACGGTATTTCCGCATCGGCGAACACACTCGAATCAGTTGCATAAAGTCACGGGAGCATGAAAACTCACATGTTCACAAGCACTATGTCCCCCATTGTCAGTCCTGGTTTAGTCCTGGGGTTGGCTCCTGTTTTGGCTGTTTACAGTATTTTCAGTCTGCCCGCTCAGACCACTAATGTCCCCGTGACCACTTTGTGGCTCTCTGATTGGTTGCTGCATGAACATCCTGAGGTAAGGTTGAGTCCCCTTCGACTTCCCCGCGCAGTGCGTGTGTGCATTCCGAGACGTTTTGACCAGTGGGGGAGGGTCCTGGCTCAAAAGTGGCCAAAATAATGACGTGCGCTGACATTCTGCAATTGCAATACCACCCCCTGCCTGTGGGGGTGGACCCGGAATAAGAATTAGCCAATGCTAACTGCATTGGCAGACCTCTGGAAAACGTCTTTACAGGATGGTCCAAAGTTGGCTCTTGACCTAAAGCTCCGTTCCACATGTGTGTCAATGCTGAGTGTTCTGGACCAGTCTAGTTTAGTCGCTGTGGACTTTTGAAGTCTCTCGTTTAAATGAATGGGGCTGGTGCAGCTGACGCATGCACAGATGTGTTTTTTCACATTTTCCAGCCCCCGCGGCCATTTTGAAACCACCCATAGACCGCGGAAGTTGTGGCACATTAGTTAGACCGACGGAGATAGACATGACTGCGTTTGTTAATATTTACAGTCTATGGTAGAAGCCTAGAGTAGAGTAGATCCAAGTAAGATCCAGACCAGGGTCAGGTATGTCCAATCCAATCCAAAACACCACAGTCTCTCTTTCTCTGGGTCTCTCTCTCTCTCTCTGGGTCTCTCCCTCTCTCTCTATCTGGCCTCTCTCTCTGGTCTCTCTCTCTGGGTCTCTCTCTGGTCTCTCTCTCTGGGTCTCTCTCTCTCCCTCTCTCTCTCTCTCTCTCTCTCTGGGTCTCTCTCACACAGGCCTCTCTGCTTTTTGCTGATGGAGCAGTGGAGCTTTGGAGAAACACATAGAACATTCCAGACCCGGCTCTCACACGTGGATGTGTGGAGCAAGCGGATTACCAGTTCCGGTAATTGGCTGTCCAGAGAAGCAGCTTCTTGGATGTTGGGTTGTGCACCTCTGCTCTGTGTGTGTGAGTGTGTGTTTGCGCGTGCATGAGTGTGTGTGTGTGTGTGTGTGTGTGTGCGTGTCCGGAGAGTCCATCATGGCCTCATAACAGTCCGTTAGTCCGGTCTGGCTGCATCTCCTCCCGGGTTTGTAAATGTTATTGATCTGACATCCGTAACGAGAGGTCGGACACTGACACACGGCCACGCACCCCTGTCTCCTCATTAGCAGACACACACACACACGCACACACACACACACATACACACACACACACACACACACACACACACACACACACACACACACACTCTCGATGATGGGCCATGCCACGTTTTATATCACGCAACTGGTGGTAAATATGGACTTACTTTGAGATGATAAAACTCTTATTTGAGAGAGAGGTTGACAGAGGTTGTAAATATATAAAAGTGAATTTATGTCCCTCTTTATGATGCTTTGAAGGTTCTTTTAATCAAATCCAAAGTAACTAAGCAGTTCTAGGTTCTTTACACGTTTGTCTGATTGAGAGAGCTGAGCAGGTTCTCGGGTTGTGTACATAGAAACCACCAAAATGGAACTATGTAGGCTCCATGTGGCTTTAATGTGGACTGAGGCTGTAGATCCAGGACTGAGGCTGTGTAGACCCAGGACTGAGGCTGTAGATCCAGGACTGAGGCTGTGTAGATCCAGGACTGAGGCTGTAGATCCAGGACTGAGGCTGTGTAGACCCAGGACTGAGGCTGTGTAGATCCAGGACTGAGGCTGTAGACCCAGGACTGAGGCTGTGTAGACCCAGGACTGAGGCTGTGTAGATCCAGGACTGAGGCTGTAGATCCAGGACTGAGGCTGTAGACCCAGGACTGAGGCTGTGTAGACCCAGGACTGAGGCTGTAGATCCAGGACTGAGGCTGTGTAGACCCAGGACTGAGGCTGTGTAGATCCAGGACTGAGGCTGTAGATCCAGGACTGAGGCTGTAGACCCAGGACTGAGGCTGTGTAGATCCAGGACTGAGGCTGTGTAGACCCAGGACTGAGGCTGTAGACCCAGGACTGAGGCTGTGTAGACCCAGGACTGAGGCTGTAGACCCAGGACTGAGGCTGTGTAGATCCAGGACTGAGGCTGTAGACCCAGGACTGAGGCTGTAGACCCAGGACTGAGGCTGTAGAATGGTGTTATGATGCACAGACAGTATCTCAGTCTCCGATGTGCTTGTGTAGGACCCCCCATGAACTGTTTTGCATAAGTCTTCCACAGAAACAGTCAAAGCAAATGCGACTCCTGCCTGTGTTTAAGAAAGACACGTTTATTGGTATAGCACAGTTCATACACAAGGCAACTCAAAGAGCTGAACACGACATAAGCATTAGAAAATAAATAATCACCGTACATTAAAAATATTAAATCCTTCAGTTGTTGCAGAAACAGAACTGTTTTTAACCTGGATTTGAACATTGTCAGAGAAGAAGTCTGTCTCACATTTTCAGGAAGACTTTTCCAGATTTAAGCTGCATAATTTGAAACGCTGCCTCTGGGACCAGCAGGAGGCCAGTCCCTGTGCTCCTCAGAGTTGGCACTAACATGTCACAGATGTACTTGGACCATGGAGAGACTTGGACTCTGAGCCACAGGAGCCAGTGCAGAGACCTGAGACCAAGACTTATGATGGTATGGTACTTCCTGGTTCAGGAAGTACTAACTAGACCAGGGGTGGCCAACCAGTCAGAGACTAAGAGCCAATTTTTTTTACTGTGTTACAGCAAAGAGCCACATCATACAAATGTGCACTACATAAACATCACCCCAACCCTTACACACGCACGCACACGGGCACGTACGCACACGAGCAGACACGCGCACACACATGCAATCTGTCTGTGCAGAGAGAGGTGTGCTCTGCTCAGACAGATTTATTGTAAATGTAATCAACATGATAATGACAGAAATTGACTCGTACAGCACTAAAGGGCTGGACTCGACTCTCCCCGGTTTGCAGGCGCTTCTACCGCTCGCTTCAGCCGCTCCCCGGTACTTTTTATTAATGGTTTGGCCCTGGTTCTAACCGGGCGAGTCGATACCAGAACAATTTCACGTCAGCGAACATCAATTATGATTCCGAAATGAATGCTTGCAATCTCTAACCAAGAAAAAAAAATCAAGTTTCAACCCAGTGTTCAGCAGAAACACAACTGTCTTTAGTAAAAGATATAGATTTGACACATAACACCAACACCACTTTAGCTGATTTAGAACCACAGACACATGTTCAGTATAAGACCAGATACTTTTGCATTTGATTGAAGACAGACACTCACCAGGAGGAGTTGGCTTATCTCCTGGTGTAATGCTAGTTGTTGTTAGCTGGTTTTAGCATGTTAGCCGGTGTTAGCCGATGTCCGTAAATGTAATCCATTTGGTCAAACCACCTCCAGACTTTTCGGGTCTGCCTCTACTTCTGCTGCTGCGATCTTTCATTTCACGGTTGTCACTTTTAAGCTTTTTAACTTTTCTCTGCATTGTCATGTTTGTGGGAATCATTCTGCTCCGTCCTTAGTGCTAGCTCCACAAACACCTTCTGGTTTCTGGTGGAACCAGCGAGATCAGGCTGGTGTCCTCTCCTCAAACTGAGGAAGGTGTTGCCCTCATCCAGCGACCAAGGAATTCTTTTCCGTACGGACGTCATGGTTCGAGGCAACGTGTTGTTTGTTATGATATTTGCTACAGCTGAGGTAGCAGCTGCAGAGTGATTGACAGCGCATCTGACCAACCAGAATTGACGTTCGCCGACGTCAGATTGTTTTGGCGGCCTGGCTAGTGGAGTGAAGTCGGCCTTTACTATTGGTCAGAACTACATAGGGAATGAAAGGCAGCGCCACCATCGAGGCGTTTTTGACGCTTGTCGAGTGAAAGCCCGAGAGCCGCACGGAACCAGCCAAAGAGCCGCATGCGGCTCACGAGCCGCGGGTTGGCCACCCCTGAACTAGACAGTTGTCGAGCTGCAGCGTTTTGAACATTATTTAACATCTTGTTTGGAGTCTAGCACTGGAGAAGAATTAGACAAATCCACAAATCTGCTTCAGACTATATTACATAATACGTCATTATTATCATTATTATTATTATATTACTCAGCTCAGTTGGTAGAGCATTGGCTTCTGGGCCTGGAGGTCGTGGGTTCGAGCCCCCATGGGACCTAATCCAACTGCTCCCACAAATGTCTATTGTCGTGTCCTTGGGCATGACAGTTTACCCCACATTGCCTGAAGCCCCCACCACCTGCAGAGGATCAGAGGGGCTGGTGCTATGAGCTTTGGGTGCAGATCTCATTGCCCCCGAAATGAACTAATAAAGAGTAAGAAAATGAATGAATGAATATTACTATATGTTTTTTGAATCTAGCAATGTAAGACTGCGCTCGTCGCTCGGAGGGACTTCGAGACTGCTCCGATCTCGATATCGGGGACATCCAACATGTTAGATTGTTTTGGGCCCATTTCTCTTCGTGTGTGGTGTCCCCCGAGGACAGACGAGCGCGTTGCCACGACTGCGGCGTGTAGCCAATCAGAAGACGAGACGAGGAAACACCGTAAAAAAACAACTCACCCCCAGATCACGATGAAGTGAGTACAGTCCGTGCTCGTGTCGTCTACACTTCTTTGACCGTCGCCTTTTCTTTGATAGTTTATTTTTAGAGAAAAGACACAATCTCCACTGCATCCTCTTGGTCCGCCATGATTGTTTACTCTGAAGTCACGCTTGATCTCGAGAGATTTTGTGAGATTTCCGTCTGACCTGTGAATGCTCGGGGGAGAAATCGGTTCGTGTGTAGTTTGTGTGATTTTGTCGTGTGGCTGCACCACACACTGCACGACCAAAGTGGTTAGACCCGTGATTTTGTTTCTCTGTGTGTGGGGTCTCACACGGAGAAAAAATCAGCCGACAATTTTAAAATTGTCTTGTGTGAACCAGGCTTTAGTGCATCTCTGTGTGTACATGTGTGTCTGTATGTCTGGTTCAGTCCGGGTGTGTCTGTACCTGTGTGTGTGTGTGTGTGTCTCTCTCTCTATGTGTGTGTGGCTTTACCTGTGTGTGTGAGTGTGCGTGTGTGTGTCTCTACCTGTGTATGTGTGTCTCTCTGTGTGTGTGTATGTATATCTGTGTGTGTCTGTACCTGTGTGTGTGTGTGTGTGTGTGTGTGTGTCTGTACCTGTGTGTGAGAGTGTGCGTGTCTTTACCTGTGTGTGTGTGTGTACCTGTGTGTGTGTCTGTCAGCCCCTGCCTCAGCGTCAGGGCGAGCGGCGAGACATTAACAGCTTCTGTCATTCTGCTGACAAAATGGTGGCAGAAGATTTCCCATGGTGCCCTGATGACTGCTGGCGTTTGTCAACAAGCCCTGTCACCGCGGCGATGAGGGGAAGGCAGGAGGAGAGGGGGAGGCAGGGAAGGGGTGAGGAGAGAGAGAGAGGGGGGAGAGATGGTGACAGGCCCCGGACTGCTCCCATGAGGCGCTGGGTGAGGTGTGTGTGTGTGTGTGTGTGTGTGTGTGTGTGTGTGTGTGTGTGTGTGTGTGTGTGTGTGTGTGTGTGTGTGTGTGTGTGTGTGTGTGTGTGTGTGTGTGTGTGTGCGTGTGTGTGTGTGTTTGTTTTCTGGTTTACGAGGCCGATTTTCAAGACTTTTCTCCGAGTAAGGAGGACCCTCCGGTTTAGGAGGACAATTTGCTGTCCTCATAAAAATTACATTCTAAATCGTTTTCTATGCATTTTTTAATGCCTAAAAAGTGGTTTTCTCAAAAGTCTTTTTAATCCAGAAACCTGAGAAAAGTGGTAAATTTGTGTGTCCGCCACTGCCCCTAGTGGTGGGTTTCTCCCGCGCGGGAAAAAGGGGAATTATACACAACCGCGGGAAAATGATACACACACACACAAAGTCAGCACTGCGCATGCTCCGTGGGGAAGGACAACAGAGCGTCTTTTCTGTCAAGGGGAAGTTTATGCATTTCTGCAGTAATTATACATCCACAAAGGAGACAGGAGAGGAGCAGCCGCGCAGAGGGACACAGGACATGGAGAGACACCCGCACGGAGGTAGGAGAGAGTTTTCACTGTCACCACATAGCACAAAGCAGCCTAGTTTAGCAGCAGAGCTAACGCTAAAGCTAACGCGAATGTGTGCTGCAGCCACTTGTTCAGAAAATCTACAGCAACTATATTGTCCACAGAAGAGACAGGGCCGTGGTGAGTCAATACTGGGAAGAGTTACAGCTGGCCACAGGTTGTTTAGCACAAAGTATCCTAGATTAGCTGCGGAGCTAAGTGGCTATGTATAGCTGCGGAGCTAAGTGGCTAACGCCCTGTTTATGCATACTACATAATGCCTATTGCTTTTATAAGGCCAGTTAGAAGACTACAATTATAAGAACAATAGAGATAAGACATTTGAGGTATTTATTATGATGCACTTTTTGCAGAAATCATACAAATAGGCTTTGATTATCCATTAATGGCAAAGGGCATAGCATAATCCTTATGCCATAAAATTATAAATGTCCCATTTAGTCCACATAGTCCATAACCTCCAACATCTGCTTCCACTGGGATGTGAGTGACTTGATGATGAAATAACAATAGTATAATAATCACTAGTACCTTCCATTTGCATGGAAATGCTTGTTAATTAAAATGTTTTAGTTTCATTAAATTATATACATCTGTATTCTTAATAGAAATAAAATAATAGGCCTACTGTGTTTCCTTAAAGCTTAAAAGAGATGTGTTCCCCTGTAAGGGGCTGTTTTGGCGATAGTATGTTATTACTATAGGGTATATTATATAACCTGCATGTATTAGGTCTATAATAGTCTATTAGAATTAATATAATTTAATCATTCATAATGTGCTCCTATGGACTCTCCACCTGCAGGAGGATCAGTGAGGGGCTGGTGCTCTGGGTGCAGCTCTGACTGGGGAAGAAAATGAATGGATATTTCTCCCACAAGTAAGTAAGTAAGTAAGTACACAGCCATGCAGGTGAACTGCAGTGTTACAACAACACTGTCTAAACCAGGACTGATTTAACTTGAGAGTTTTGATTTGAGCTTCAAAACACTGCTTCAAACTTGATGACTTGGGAAATGTTTTGTGAATGTTAAGAGGACAGAAGTAATTTACTGTTTGAAAAACTATGAGAGAGAGAAACCAGAGAGTCGAGTCCTGCAGCGGGACATCAGGGAGTCCTCTTTTGAGGTTAGCTTATTTATGGCTGTTTGTTAAAGAAATAAGTCCCATTGTTTTACAATAGCTAATAAAAGAAGTATTCGTCCCCACTGTGGGACAAATAAAGGAATTCTTATATTATCTTAAGTAGGTCAAAGCATCATCACAGTCCAAAGGCATAGTTTTAAAGGTTCCATATTACGCTTTTCTTCATATTTCACAGTCCATCCTATGCACATGTGTGATAATGATTTGACTTGTGAGATTATAGCCATCTCTTCATCACAGAAACAACATGATTACAGAGATCCTGAGCATTACAATGATTTATAACCTATGTTGGCAGAGCTGATGTTGGCTAGATGACATTGAAAATGTGTATATTGTTACATATCAAGACAGAGAGGGCCCCAATAGGCCCCAGACCTCAATTTGGGTATGGCTGGTGAAGATGATGTGTATTTTTCTGTTCCTCTTGTTTAGACACAGCTCAGTGGTATAAGCATCATTGCTGGACAACATGTTGCAGAGTTCGGTGACCACACAGTGACTTGGACCCTGATGTTCTCTCTGCAGACTTATCCAGAGGTAATACCTTACTTAAAGAAGCTATACCCGATTTTTTTTCTAAGTAGTTCATAAAAATGCTTTTTACTACATACAAGTTGTATCATAATACATCATTTAATTGAAAACTTGAGGTCATTGATTCCACTGTGTATGAAATTCAGGCAGTGAAAAGTGCTGAGTAGAGTCTGAGCGGGACGCTCGTTCTCCTCCGCTCACAGAACGAGCAGTGAACAGCCTGTGTCCTCTAGTCTCTACAGCCTGTGTCCTCTAGTCTCTACAGCCTGTGTCCTCTAGCCTCTACAGCCTGCGTCCTCTAGTCTCTACAGCCTGTGTCCTCTAGCCTCTACAGCCTGCGTCCTCTAGTCTCTACAGCCTGCGTCCTCTAGCCTCTACAGCCTGCGTCCTCTAGCCTCTACAGCCTGTGTCCTCTAGTCTCTACAGCCTGTGTCCTCTAGTCTCTACAGCCTGTGTCCTCTAGTCTCTACAGCCTGTGTCCTCTAGTCTCTACAGCCTGTGTCCTCTAGTCTCTACAGCCTGCGTCCTCTAGCCTCTACAGCCTGCGTCCTCTAGTCTCTACAGCCTGTGTCCTCTAGTCTCTACAGCCTGTGTCCTCTAGTCTCTACAGCCTGTGTCCTCTAGTCTCTACAGCCTGTGTCCTCTAGTCTCTACAGCCTGTGTCCTCTAGTCTCTACAGCCTGTGTCCTCTAGTCTCTACAGCCTGCGTCCTCTAGTCTCTACAGCCTGTGTCCTCTAGTCTCTACAGCCTGTGTCCTCTAGTCTCTACAGCCTGTGTCCTCTAGTCTCTACAGCCTGTGTCCTCTAGCCTCTACAGCCTGTGTCCTCTAGTCTCTACAGCCTGTGTCCTCTAGCCTCTACAGCCTGTGTCCTCTAGTCTCTACAACCTGTGTCCTCTAGTCTCTACAGCAGGGGTGCTCACACTTTTTCAGCATGCGAGCTACTTATAAAAGGATCAAGTCAAAATGATCTACCTACTACAAAAATGCAAATCATATATTTCAAAAAATATTCTTTATATCTACAATGTATGTTGATGTACATGCAAAACCGCATGAGCCAATATAGCACAACACAACACAATTACCTATGTACATTTTTTGTCATTACCCGAGTTTACTCTTATGACTTGCACTGAATTGAATCGGCCAGGGATGCATAGTCCGGAAAATTGGTGGTAACTCACTGACAAGTTTGTCGTGGTTTAGCTTTCCTGCACTGAGCGCGGTTGTTTGCGCATGTGCAGTCACCTAAGTGTCAGTAAAACATTACTGAGTAAAACACAGATGTCATTTGACTGTGGTGCCATGTCCATGTGCCATGCCTGTTTTTTTTAAATCCAAATATTTCCCCTCCTCAGTTTATAAAATAATTTGCATCCACACATCTGCGTTATCAATCACATTCGTAACATTCCAAACATGTGCGTCTCTTACGTCCTGTCCTGCGTTGGGGAAAAACACAGAAGTGGGCGGAACTTTGATGCAGACTCCGGTAACGGCACTTTTACAGTCATAGAAGACACTCAGAGTAAAGAGTTAGACGTATGTTTACAAGCTCTGACCCCGTCCTCAGCCCTGGTTTAGCCCTGGTTTAGTCCTGGTTTAGTCCTGGTTTGGTTGGTTTTTCTAGCGTGAGTCCCCGCGATCACTTTGCTGCTCTCTGATGTGGAGCGAGGATGTTCGCTGCTGCGAGCATCTCACAGGAAGAGTTTTTAAGGTAGTATGATCCATGCTTCAGTGATCGGAATTTAGGGGGGTACTGTGGCGTGCGAGAACGCAAAACTCTGGTTATCTCTGTCTACACACAAATGCATTAATGGAGTTTTCAAAAATCTCCACTTTGCCCGGAGTTTTTTGTATATATTCGTTTAGAATGTGTAATTTTTTATTTATTTAATGCGATCTACCAATACTACCTTTGCGATCGACTGGTAGATCGCGATCGACGTATTGAGCACCCCTGCTCTACAGCCTGTGTCCTCTAGTCTCTACAGCCTGTGTCCTCTAGTCTCTACAGCCTGTGTCCTCTAGTCTCTACAGCCTGTGTCCTCTAGTCTCTACAGCCTGTGTCCTCTAGTCTCTACAGCCTGTGTCCTCTAGCCTCTACAGCCTGCGTCCTCTAGTCTCTACAGCCTGTGTCCTCTAGTCTCTACAGCCTGCGTCCTCTAGTCTCTACAGCCTGTGTCCTCTAGCCTCTACAGCCTGTGTCCTCTAGTCTCTACAGCCTGTGTCCTCTAGCCTCTACAGCCTGCGTCCTCTAGTCTCTACAGCCTGTGTCCTCTAGTCTCTACAGCCTGTGTCCTCTAGTCTCTACAGCCTGTGTCCTCTAGTCTCTACAGCCTGTGTCCTCTAGCCTCTACAGCCTGTGTCCTCTAGTCTCTACAGCCTGCGTCCTCTAGCCTCTACAGCCTGCGTCCTCTAGTCTCTACAGCCTGTGTCCTCTAGTCTCTACAGCCTGTGTCCTCTAGTCTCTACAGCCTGTGTCCTCTAGCCTCTACAGCCTGTGTCCTCTAGTCTCTACAGTCTGTGTCCTCTAGTCTCTACAGCCTGTGTCCTCTAGTCTCTACAGCCTGTGTCCTCTAGCCTCTACAGCCTGCGTCCTTTAGCCTCTACAGCCTGCGTCCTCTAGTCTCTACAGCCTGTGTCCTCTAGTCTCTACAGCCTGCGTCCTCTAGTCTCTACAGCCTGTGTCCTCTAGTCTCTACAGCCTGTGTCCTCTAGCCTCTACAGCCTGCGTCCTTTAGCCTCTACAGCCTGCGTCCTCTAGTCTCTACAGCCTGTGTCCTCTAGTCTCTACAGCCTGCGTCCTCTAGTCTCTACAGCCTGCGTCCTCTAGTCTCTACAGCCTGCGTCCTCTAGTCTCTACAGCCTGTGTCCTCTAGTCTCTACAGCCTGTGTCCTCTAGTCTCTACAGCCTGTGTCCTCTAGTCTCTACAGCCTGTGTCCTCTAGTCTCTACAGCCTGTGTCCTCTAGCCTCTACAGCCTGCGTCCTTTAGCCTCTACAGCCTGCGTCCTCTAGTCTCTACAGCCTGTGTCCTCTAGTCTCTACAGCCTGCGTCCTCTAGTCTCTACAGCCTGCGTCCTCTAGTCTCTACAGCCTGCGTCCTCTAGTCTCTACAGCCTGTGTCCTCTAGTCTCTACAGCCTGTGTCCTCTAGCCTCCAACAGAGAATACATTATACATATACATTCTTAATACACATTGCATCAGGAGGTTTTAAGAATTATCTGTCAACATTTTCATGACAAAAATCAAACGCGGTAATCCGGGAAGTTAACTTTAACAATAGTAGAAACATTTTTAGGCACACATTTGCAGATGATTGATTATGGATTTAGGTTAAGTATTTATATTTGGGTTCACTCACGCTGATGTCAGAATTCTTTGTTCAGTTTTCATATAGATTCCAGAGAGTTCTAGTTTAGTTAGCTAGCTTGCTGTTACCTGTCTAGTCACGTTACAATCATATCCTTTGGGATCTATTTTATAAATATCATTTTAAAAAACGATAATGCCCTTACATATTAATGGCTGTCTTATATTCGTTCTTTTAGTTATATATAGTTTATTATAATTTAAATATTTGAATTATTTACGGAGCGCGGATGATTGACAGACCTTGGCCTCACTTGAATGTTAAAGCTGTGGCGGGCGCCAATTGAGCGGCGCTAGGGCGCCGCCCCACCACTCACAACTTGCCATGTTACCTTGAATAAAACGTTAAAAAAATAATAACATTAAACATATTTCGAAATTATGTGTGTTTTTATTTCAGATGTGGAAGAAATACTTTATAGTTTATGCTGTGTTGGATTGATTAAGCTCATCAGCGTTGTCTGTGTCGGACTGAGGTAGTTCCGCCTCAGGGCGCAAATGATTGACGCCCTGAGCCGTCTATGGACTCTCGTTAAAAGATTGTACATGCGGCAGTAGCTTCTTCAATGCAAGAGATAAGACGATTTGGGGGCGCAGGAGAAGTGAGCCATGAGGGGGCGGGATCGCCCCGATGACGTGATGTTTGTTTCAATGTCTGTGACGTCCGTTTTACAGTGATTGACAGGTCAAGCTGTGGGAGTTTGAGTCGAACGTAAAGAGGACGCAAAATGGAGAACGAGAAAAAGATAATGCAGTGGATTCACTCAAAAAACAATACCGTTTGAGAGAAGATTATGACCAGGAGAAGGTTGAGGTTAAGAGCTTGGACCTGTTCAGCCAAAATATTAACCATTGGGTCAGCAGTCCAGCGACAGGGGGAGACGGTACAATCGTTTCTACGTTTTACAGGACTGAGTTACAGCGCCAAATCTTGGCTAGCAGCATGTAGCCGAGTATTGCTTTATTTTGCTTTCATGCTCTGGTTTCAAAAGCAGGATCAGACCCGGCATGGATCAAGACAGGTATGACTGATCTGATGCACTTTTTTAGAAAAGAAGCATGAGCAGATGGATCCACTGCAAAATGCCCTCAAATTAGCTATGTTTGGGAGGTAAATATTTCATCCAGGTGCTGATGAAAAGCTACAGGGTAGGGATCAGAAAGCATACCTACCCTGCTGATATATATCTTGTCATCTTTTTCATTGCCCCACCAGTAGAAATTCCACCAGCCGAACTGGGTTAAAGTGGACGGCATCGAGGATTTTGAGCTATTGCTTAGAGAAGAGATGAAGGGACTGTAACCCAAAAATGTTATAACTCATAAAATTACTTATTTTATAAATCAACATTTAAGACCAGGAGGTCAATTTAATAAAATTCGACTAAAAAATGTGTAATGCATTTTTTTTCTAGAGTTCAATGACTTTCACTTGGTTATCACATAAAGCTATGCGACATGTCCGAACTGCCCACGCACGCAGGGTGTGGTCTCACTGGCGCTTTGTACATTTCACGGTGAGGACTCCTCAGAGATGAAGATTTTAATGAGGTCAAGAGCGGGAACGTCTGATGAGGAATCAAGAGAGTGGAGCTCCAGGTGAGGAGGGGTTGTGGGGGGAGACTAAGAGGAGGCCAGGGATGGAGGGACAGGGGTGCTAGAAAAGGGTGGGGCCACACACAGAGGACAGGTACTCAGCTCAGGCAGTTGCCGCGAGAATCTGTGCACAGAGCTCAAAGTTACTGTGTCGTGGAACGCAAGTAGCGCAGCTGCGTGAGTGCGCGCAGTCGGCTTAAAGCAGACTGAGTCCAGGTTTGTGAGGCCGCACTCGCACATGTACAGTGCGTGAGCGGGCAGCGGCAAACAGCTGCAGCAGGTGATGTAGCTCCATGTGCAGAAGTGCGCGGTGTCAGGTACAGGCGCGGGAGGTGCGTGAGGCCACTACACCGTCTGTACCGCAGGGCACTTTGATGGAGGAGGTGATGGAGGAGGTGATGGAGGAGGTGATGGAGGAGGTGATGGAGGAGGTGATGGAGGAGGTGATGGAGGAGGTGATGGAGGAGGTGATGAGGAGGTGATGGAGGAGGTGATGAGAGTGATGGAGGAGGTGGAGGAGGTGATGGAGGAGGTGATGGAGGAGGTGATGGAGGAGGTGATGGAGGAGGTGATGGAGGAGGTGATGGAGGAGGTGATGGAGGAGGTGATGGAGGAGGTGATGGAGGAGGTGATGGAGGAGGTGATGGAGGAGGTGATGGAGGAGGTGATGGAGGAGGTGATGGAGGAGGTGATGGAGGAGGTGATGGAGGAGGTGATGGAGGAGGTGATGGAGGAGGTGATGGAGGAGGTGATGGAGGAGGTGATGGAGGAGGTGATGGAGGAGGTGATGGAGGAGGTGATGGAGGAGGTGATGGAGGAGGTGATGGAGGAGGTGATGGAGGAGGTGATGGAGGAGGTGATGGAGGAGGTGATGGAGGAGGTGATGGAGGAGGTGATGGAGGAGGTGATGGAGGAGGTGATGGAGGAGGTGATGGAGGAGGTGATGGAGGAGGTGATGGAGGAGGTGATGGAGGAGGTGATGGAGGAGGTGATGGAGGAGGTGATGGAGGAGGTGATGGAGGAGGTGATGGAGGAGGTGATGGAGGAGGTGATGGAGGAGGTGATGGAGGAGGTGATGGAGGAGGTGATGGAGGAGGTGATGGAGGAGGTGATGGAGGAGGTGATGGAGGAGGTGATGGAGGAGGTGATGAGGAGGTGATGGAGGAGGTGATGGAGGAGGTGATGGAGGAGGTGATGGAGGAGGTGATGGAGGAGGTGATGGAGGAGGTGATGGAGGAGGTGATGGAGGAGGTGATGGAGGAGGTGATGGAGGAGGTGATGGAGGAGGTGATGGAGGAGGTGATGGAGGAGGTGATGGAGGAGGTGATGGAGGAGGTGATGGAGGAGGTGATGGAGGAGGTGATGGAGGAGGTGATGGAGGAGGTGATGGAGGAGGTGATGGAGGAGGTGATGGAGGAGGTGATGGAGGAGGTGATGGAGGAGGTGATGGAGGAGGTGATGGAGGAGGTGATGGAGGAGGTGATGGAGGAGGTGATGGAGGAGGTGATGGAGGAGGTGATGGAGGAGGTGATGGAGGAGGTGATGGAGGAGGTGATGGAGGAGGTGATGGAGGAGGTGATGGAGGAGGTGATGGAGGAGGTGATGGAGGAGGTGATGGAGGAGGTGATGGAGGAGGTGATGGAGGAGGTGATGGAGGAGGTGATGGAGGAGGTGATGGAGGAGGTGATGGAGGAGGTGATGGAGGAGGTGATGGAGGAGGTGATGGAGGAGGTGATGGAGGAGGTGATGGAGGAGGTGATGGAGGAGGTGATGGAGGAGGTGATGGAGGAGGTGATGGAGGAGGTGATGGAGGAGGTGATGGAGGAGGTGATGGAGGAGGTGATGGAGGAGGTGATGGAGGAGGTGATGGAGGAGGTGATGGAGGAGGTGATGGAGGAGGTGATGGAGGAGGTGATGGAGGAGGTGATGGAGGAGGTGATGGAGGAGGTGATGGAGGAGGTGATGGAGGAGGTGATGGAGGAGGTGATGGAGGAGGTGATGGAGGAGGTGATGGAGGAGGTGATGGAGGAGGTGATGGAGGAGGTGATGGAGGAGGTGATGGAGGAGGTGATGGAGGAGGTGATGGAGGAGGTGATGGAGGAGGTGATGGAGGAGGTGATGGAGGAGGTGATGGAGGAGGTGATGGAGGAGGTGATGGAGGAGGTGATGGAGGAGGTGATGGAGGAGGTGATGGAGGAGGTGATGGAGGAGGTGATGGAGGAGGTAATGGAGGAGGTGATGGAGGAGGTGATGGAGGAGGTGATGGAGGAGGTGATGGAGGAGGTGATGGAGGAGGTGATGGAGGAGGTGATGGAGGAGGTGATGGAGGAGGTGATGGAGGAGGTGATGGAGGAGGTGATGGAGGAGGTGATGGAGGAGGTGATGGAGGAGGTGATGGAGGAGGTGATGAGGAGGTGATGAAGGAGGTGGATGGAGGAGGTGATGGAGGAGGTGATGGAGGAGGTGATAATGGAGGAGGTGATGGAGGAGGTAATGGACGAGGTAAGGAGGTGGAGGAGGTAATGGAGGAGGTGATGGAGGAGGTGATGGAGGAGGGTAATGGAGGAGATGATGGAGGAGGTGATGGAGGAGGTGATGGAGGAGGTGATGGAGGAGGTGATGGAGGAGGTATGGAGGAGGTGGGAGGAGGTGATGGAGGAGGTGATGGAGGAGGTGATGGAGGAGGTGATGGGAGGATGGTGATGGAGGAGGTGATGGAGGAGGTAATGGAGGAGGTGATGGAGGAGGTGATGGAGGAGGTGATGGAGGAGGTGATGGAGGAGGTGATGGAGGTGATGGAGGAGGTAATGGAGGAGGTGATGGAGGAGGTGATGGAGGAGGTGATGGAGGAGGTAATTGAGGAGGTGATGGAGGAGGTGATGGAGGAGGTGATGGAGGAGGTGATGGAGGAGGAGGTGATGGAGGAGGTGATTGAGGAGGTGATGGAGGAGGTGATGGAGGAGGTGATGGAGGAGGTGATGGAGGAGGTAATGGAGGAGGTGATGGAGGAGGTGATGGAGGAGGTGATGGAGGAGGTGATGGAGGAGGTGATGGAGGAGGTATGGAGGAGGTAATGGAGGAGGTAATGGAGGAGGTGATGGAGGAGGTGATGGAGGAGGTGATGGAGGAGGTGATGGAGGAGGTAATGGAGGAGGTGATGGAGGAGGTATTGGAGGAGGTGATGGAGGAGGTGATGGAGGAGGTGATGGAGGAGGTGATGGAGGAGGTGATGGAGGAGGTAATGGAGGAGGTGATGGAGGAGGTAATGGAGGAGGTGATGTAGGAGGTAATGGAGGAGGTAATGGAGGAGGTAATGTAGGAGGTGATGGAGGAGGTGATGGAGGAGGTGATGGAGGAGGTGATGGAGGAGATGATGGAGGAGGTGATGGAGGAGGTGATGGAGGAGGTGATGGAGGAGGTGATGGAGGAGGTGATGGAGGAGGTAATGGAGGAGGTAATGGAGGAGGTGATGGAGGAGGTAATGGAGGAGGTGATGGAGGAGGTGATGGAGGAGGTGATGGAAAGAGGTGATGGAGGTGATGGAGGAGGTAATGGAGGAGGTAATTGAGGAGGTGATGGAGGAGGTAATGGAGGAGGTGATGGAGGTGATGGAGGAGGTTATTGGAGGAGGTGATGGAGGAGGTGATGGAGGAGGTGATGGAGGAGGTGATGGAGGAGGTGATTGAGGAGGTGATTGAGGAGGTGATGGAGGAGGTGATGGAGGAGGTGATTGGAGGAGGTGATGGAGGAGGTGATGGAGGAGGTAATGGAGGAGGTGATGGAGTAGGTAATGGAGGAGGTGAATGGAGGAGGTTAATGGAGGAGGTGATGGAGGAGGTGATGGAGGAGATGATGGGGTGATGGAGGAGGTGAATGGAGGAGGTGATGGAGGAGGTGATGGAGGAGGTGATGGAGGAGGTGATGGAGGAGGTGATGGAGGAGGTAATGGAGGAGGTGATGAGGAGGTGATGGAGGAGGTGATGGAGGAGGTGATGGAGGAGGTGATGGAGGTGATGGAGGAGGTAATGGAGGAGGTAATTGAGGAGGTGATGGAGGAGGTAATGGAGGAGGTTAATGGAGGAGGTTGATGGAGGTGATGGAGGAGGTATTGGAGGAGGTGATGGAGGAGGTAATGGAGGAGGTAATGGAGGAGGTAATGGAGGAGGTGATGGGAGATGAAGGAGGTGATGGAGGAGGTAATGGAGGAGGTAATGGAGGAGGTGATGGAGGAGGTGATGGAGGAGGTGATGGAGGAGGTGATGGAGGAGGTGATGGAGGAGGTGATGGAGGAGGTGATGGAGGAGGTGATGGAGGAGGTGATGGAGGAGGTGATGGAGGAGGTGATGGAGGAGGTGATGGAGGAGGTGATGGAGGAGGTGATGGAGGAGGTGATGGAGGAGGTGATGGAGGAGGTATGGAGGAGGTGATGGAGGAGGTGATGGAGGAGGTGATGGAGGAGGTGATGGAGGAGGTGATGGAGGAGGTGATGGAGGAGGTAATGGAGGAGGTGATGGAGGAGGTGATGGAGGAGGTGATGGAGGAGGTGATGGAGGAGGTGATGGAGGAGGTGATGGAGGAGGTGATGGAGGAGGTGATGGAGGAGGTGATGGAGGAGGTGATGGAGGAGGTGATGGAGGAGGTGATGGAGGAGGTGATGGAGGAGGTGATGGAGGAGGTGATGGAGGAGGTGATGGAGGAGGTGATGGAGGAGGTGATGGAGGAGGTGATGGAGGAGGTGATGGAGGAGGTGAATGGAGGAGGTGATGGAGGAGGTGATGGAGGAGGTGATGGAGGAGGTGATGGAGGAGGTGATGGAGGAGGTGATGGAGGAGGTGATGGAGGAGGTGATGGAGGAGGTGATGGAGGAGGTGATGGAGGAGGTGATGGAGGAGGTGATGGAGGAGGTGATGGAGGAGGTGATGGAGGAGGTGATGGAGGAGGTGATGGAGGAGGTGATGGAGGAGGTGATGGAGGAGGTGATGGAGGAGGTGATGGAGGAGGTGATGGAGGAGGTGATGGAGGAGGTGGAGGAGGAGGAGGTGATGGAGGAGGTGATGGAGGAGGTGATGGAGGAGGTATTGGAGGAGGTGATGGAGGAGGTGATGGAGGAGGTGATGGAGGAGGTGATGGAGGAGGTGATGGAGGAGGTGATGGAGGAGGTATGGAGGAGGTGATGGAGGAGGTGATGGAGGAGGTGATGGAGGAGGTAATGGAGGAGGTGATGGAGGAGGTGATGGAGGAGGTGGAGGAGGTGGGAGGAGGTGATGGAGGAGGTGATGGAGGAGGTGATGGAGGAGGTGGAGGAGGTGATGGAGGAGGTGATGGAGGAGGTGATGGGGGAGGTGATGGGAGGTATGGAGGAGGTAATGGGAGGAGGTGATGGAGGAGGTGATGGAGGAGGAGGAGGAGGTGATGGAGGAGGTGGGAGTGATGGAGGAGGTGATGGAGGAGGTGATGGAGGAGGTGATGGAGGAGGTGATGGAGGAGGTAATGGAGGAGGTGATGGAGGAGGTGATGGAGGAGGTGATGGAGGAGGTGATGGAGGAGGTGATGGAGGAGGTGATGGAGGAGGTGGGGAGAGGAGGTGATGGAGGAGGTGATGGAGGAGGTGATGGGGTGATGGAGGAGGTAATGGAGGAGGTGATGGAGGAGGTGATGGAGGAGGTAATGGAGGAGGTAATTGAGGAGGTGATGGAGGAGGTAATGGAGGAGGTGATGGAGGAGGTGATGGAGGAGGTGATTGAGGAGGTGATGGAGGAGGTGATGGAGGAGGTGATGGAGGAGGTGATGGAGGAGGTGATGGAGGAGGTAATGGAGGAGGTGATGGAGGAGGTGATGGAGGAGGTGATGGAGGAGGTGATGGAGGAGGTAAGGTGGAGGAGGTAATGGAGGAGGTAATGGAGGAGGTGATGGAGGAGGTGATGGAGGAGGTGATGGAGGAGGTGATGGAGGAGGTAATGGAGGAGGTAATGGAGGAGGTATTGGAGGAGGTGATGGAGGAGGTGATGGAGGAGGTGATTGAGGAGATGATGGAGGAGGTGATGGAGGAGGTAATGGAGGAGGTGATGGAGGAGGTAATGGAGGAGGTGATGTAGGAGGTAATGGAGGAGGTAATGGAGGAGGTAATGTAGGAGGTGATGGAGGAGGTGATGGAGGAGGTGATGGAGGAGGTGATGGAGGAGATGATGGAGGAGGTGATGGAGGAGGTAATGGAGGAGGTGATGGAGGAGGTGATGGAGGAGGTGATGGAGGAGGTAATGGAGGAGGTAATGGAGGAGGTGATGGAGGAGGTGATGGAGGAGGTGATGGAGGAGGTGATGGAGGAGGTGATGGAGGAGGTGATGGAGGAGGTGATGGAGGTGATGGAGGAGGTAATGGAGGAGGTAATTGAGGAGGTGATGGAGGAGGTAATGGAGGAGGTGATGGAGGTGATGGAGGAGGTATTGGAGGAGGTGATGGAGGAGGTGTTGGAGGAGGTGATGGAGGAGGTGATGGAGGAGGTGATTGAGGAGGTGATTGAGGAGGTGATGGAGGAGGTGATGGAGGAGGTGATTGAGGAGGTGATGGAGGAGGTGATGGAGGAGGTAATGGAGGAGGTGATGGAGTAGGTAATGGAGGAGGTAATGGAGGAGTTAATGGAGGAGGTGATGGAGGAGGTGATGGAGGAGATGATGGAGGTGATGGAGGAGGTAATGGAGGAGGTGATGGAGGAGGTGATGGAGGAGGTGATGGAGGAGGTGATGGAGGAGGTGATGGAGGAGGTGATGGAGGAGGTGATGGAGGAGGTGATGGAGGAGGTGATGGAGGAGGTGATGGAGGAGGTGATGGAGGAGGTAATGGAGGAGGTAATTGAGGAGGTGATGGAGGAGGTAATGGAGGAGGTGATGGAGGTGATGGAGGAGGTATTGGAGGAGGTGATGGAGGAGGTAATGGAGGAGGTAATGGAGGAGGTAATGGAGGAGGTGATGGAGGAGATGATGGAGGAGGTAATGGAGGAGGTAATGGAGGAGGTGATGGAGGAGGTAATGGAGGAGGTAATGTAGGAGGTGATGGAGGAGGTGATGGAGGAGGTAATGGAGGAGGTAATGGAGGAGGTAATGGAGGAGGTGATGGAGGAGGTGACGGAGGAGGTGATGGAGGAGGTGATGGAGGAGATGATGGAGGAGGTGATGGAGGAGGTGATGGAGGAGGTAATGGAGGAGTAATGGAGGAGGTATTGGAGGAGGTGATGGAGGAGGTGATGGAGGAGGTGATGGAGGAGATGATGGAGGAGGTGATGGAGGAGGTGATGGAGGAGGTAATGGAGGAGGTAATGGAGGAGGTAATGGAGGAGGTATTGGAGGAGGTGATGGAGGAGGTGATGGAGGAGGTGATGGAGGAGGTAATGGAGGAGGTAATGGAGGAGGTGATGGAGGAGGTGATGGAGGAGGTGATGGAGGAGGTGATGGAGGAGGTGATGGAGGAGGTGATGGAGGAGATGATGGAGGAGGTGATGGAGGAGGTAATGGAGGAGGTGATGGAGGAGGTGATGGAGGAGGTGATGGAGGAGGTAATGGAGGAGGTAATGGAGGAGGTGATGGAGGAGGTGATGGAGGAGGTGATGGAGGAGGTGATGGAGGAGGTGATGGAGGAGGTGATGGAGGAGGTAATGGAGGAGGTAATGGAGGAGGTAATGGAGGAGGTTATGGAGGAGGTGATGGAGGAGGTGATGGAGGAGGTGATGGAGGAGGTGATGGAGGAGGTGATGGAGGAGGTGATGGAGGAGGTAATGGAGGAGGTAATGGAGGAGGTAATGGAGGAGGTAATGGAGGAGGTATTGGAGGAGGTAATGGAGGAGGTAATGGAGGAGGTGATGGAGGAGGTGATGGAGGAGGTGATGGAGGAGGTGATTGCGGTCTCTCTCTCTCTGCAACAGTCGTCCTGAAGTCGACGGCGTGAGGTTGTTCTTGTGCCTGTTCCGGTCTGTGGCGTGTCACTGTGCATTAGCCCAGCAGCAGATCAGAGCCACCGCACTCTACTGTATTTCCACTGCTTACCCCCATCTCCATGCACTCCCTGGGAGCCTTCACACCAGGCATCACTTAGACTCGCTCCATTTGAAGAGGAGCAGAAGTGTGCTAATGTCACAGCCTTGGGCGACAGACTCTGGCACCCACCTAACCCACCACCCCTGCACCGTGGGCCCACCCGTCTGTCTCTGGTCTGTCCCGGTCTCCTCGCGGTCTCTCTCTCTCTCTCACACCCACAGACTGTCAAAGCAGATCTGGCTCCACACGCCCACAATATCTCCATTGGTAAATCAAGAGTTCTACACAAAAGCGATGTCCCGTTAAGCGCAGACAGCGAGGAGGAGACGGCAGAGGTTCTCACTATTTCTGTACGTTATGTTTGAATGAGTCACAGTTTTAGACCTGGTTCGTGTTGGGATTCTATCACTACACCGGGAAAAATACATACAGACAGAGGGAGAGATAGATACACTGTAGATAGAGGTAGGTAGAAAGACAGAGGTAGATAGAGATGGATAGATAGATACAGTAGAGATAGAGGTGGGAAGACAGACAGAGATAGATAGACATAGATCAGGTGTCTCCAACCTTTTACACCCAGAGAGCTACTTTCCAAGGACAATAAAGGCAGAGAGCTACTCCTTTTAGCTAACCCTGGGAAAAAATGTTGTGATATATTGGTTTGAACAAGCCTGATATTGGATACAGTCATTATATATCATTGCATATTTGTTACTAGTGACAAAGTAAGTGCATTTACAATAATCAAAAACGATAACGAATAATACAGTCTGAAATATGAAGTGTATTGTTGAATTTCGTCATTTCTAAATCCTTTGGCGAGCTATCTGCAAGGGGGCGGCAAGCTACCGGTGGCTCCCGAGCTACAGGTTGGAGACCCCTGACATAGATAGACATAGACTCAGATACTGTAGACTCAGATAGACATAGATAGACATAGATAGACATAGATAGACATAGATAGAGGTAGGTATACAGAAAGAGATGGATAGAGGTAGGTACAGACAGAAAGACAGATAGCTGGATGGATAGGAGACAGACAGACATATTGAGTATTTAAGTTAAATGTTATATCTTTACAAATATACTGGGCATCTCCACACCCAAAAATACCCTGTAACATTTTGATAAAGACGTTTTAAAAAGTTCTTTAATCGCACACTTATGCACCGATACATGGGTGGTCAGAGCCGCTCACCGCACACTTTCATCCTTCCCATCTGTATCTTGTGAAACGCTAACTTTGGCTACGCCGCGTTAGCCGCTATAAGCATGGCCTGTGTCTCCTGTGTGCTTCAGAGAGAGACGGACCATGGCCTGGGGTGATATCTGCGGCGGTCTGCTCCTGCTGCAGCTCTGAGTGCCAAGGCATGATCCCCTCCGCTTTTAATTAGACACATTAACATACACACACACGCACACACACACACACTTGTCGACCTCCCTCTCTCTCCCCCGCTCTCCCCCCCCCCCCCCCCTCTCCCACAATAGGCCTGTTGCATGACCCGGGGCGATGCCGACCACACCATTAAAACCAAGACTAATCAACTTCATATTCTCATGGACACTTACCCACCGCAACGTACAATATTCACAGTTTTTGACCACCAGGGAGCACACACACGTACACACACACACACACACACACACACACACACACAAACAATGTTTTGCTAATTCTTGAAGAGTTGAAAAAGGGTGGGGACTGCTTCAAACTAATTAATTAAAAAGTCTTTGTAATAAGTGTGTGTGTTTGTGTGTGTAATAAGTGTGTGCGTGTGTAATAAGCGTGTGTGTGTCATAACTGAGTGTGTGTACAGTATATCTAGTAAGTGAGTGTGTTTGTGTGTGTAATAACTGTGTGTGTGTAATAACTGAGTATGTAGTTATAGTGTGTGTGTGCATAATAACTGAGTGTGTGTATGTAGTAAGTGTGTGTGTGTGTGTGTGTGTATGTAGTAAGTGTGTGTGCGTGATAACAGAGTATGTGTTTATGTAGTTATAGTGTGTGTGTGTAATAACTGAGTGTGTGTATATCTAGTAAGTGTGTGTGTGTAAAAACTGAGTGTGTGTATATCCAGTAAGTGTGTGTGTGTGTGTGTGTATGTAGTAAGTGTGTGTGCGTGATAACAGAGTGTGTGTATATGTAGTTATAGTGTGTGTGTGTAATAACTGAATGTGTGTATATCTAGTAAGTGTGTGTGTGTGTGTGTATATCTAGTAAGTGTATGTGTGTGTATATGTAGTACGTGTGTGTGTGTGTGTGTGTGTATATGTAGTATGTGTGTGTGTGTGTGTGTGTGTGTGTGTATATGTAGTATGTGTGTATATGTAGTATGTGTGTGTGTGTGTTTGTGTGTGTGTGTGAATATGTAGTATGTGTGTGTGTGAACACCGGACCCCACTGGTCCAAGCTTAATAATCAATGGGTAATGCTTTTCTAACGGTCCTTATGCAGTCTCTGTAAAAATATGGAAAGGACCCCTGGAGGTTTACTTTCCTGAAAAAAGTGTGTTATGTGTCGGAACCCTGGTGGTGGGTTGCGGGATATCAAGGAGGGGCACACTGGGGCAATTTCAGTCCAGCAGGCTGGAGCCAATCATGGAGCAGCACAACAGAGGCTGGAGCCAATCATGGAGCAGCACAACAGAGGAAATCAGGTGTCAGGCTAGAAAAGGTGCAAGTGTGTGGTTCATTAGGCTGCAGCCAATCACAGAGCAGCACACTGAAGCGCACGCTTACAAACCACTGGTAAGTGCTGACTACAAGTCATGACTTCAAATTGTTATATAGAATTATTACAAATTATTTGTTGTTTGTGCAGCTTAGTCAAGAGTCCCTAATTGATGAAGTCGACTCAGATTCTGACGATTTAACTGTCAAGAAGAAACCTGTAAAAAAGTATGGAAAAAGAAAAATCAAAAACACTTTTCTTCAAGACTCGGAAAGTGACGAACCAAAGGCAAATAAGATTGTTATCATGCAGCTGCAAAAGAAGAAAAATGGGGGCGAGTTTACAGCAAGAGACACTTCTGCCTCTACTGTTCAATGTCCTGCCACAAAATGTCCCGTCATTTGACTAGAAAACATGGAAATGAAAGTGACGTAGCCAGAGCATTGGCTCTACCTGTGAAATCTAAAGCACGTAAACTTCAGTTTGATTTGATCAGGAATAGTGGAAACCGTGAGCACAATTTTGAGGTTTTAAAGGCCGGCATTGGAACTTTAGTCCCAGCTAAACAGCCAAATTGCCCAGTTAAATCCAGTGAGTTTTTGCACTGTATAGACTGTGGGGCATTGCTTAAGCGAAAGTCGCTGTGGAGGCATGTGGCCAGGTGCCGGCTTTCACAGAAAGATGCCCAGGCTAAACCAGGCTAAACCAGGCTAAACCAGGTAGAAGTAGGGTCCAGTCCCTCTGCTCCCTAGCCCAGCCTGTACCGGAGGGCATCAGCAAAAAGCTGTGGTCTTTAATTTCGGTAATGCATCAGGATGAGGTCACGGGTGTTGTCAAAGCAGAAAAGGGGATTCTGAGACTCGGAGAGCACCTGTACTTAAAACACGGGCATGATAAGACTAAGCATGATTACATTAGGCAGAAAATGAGAGAAGTCGGTAGGTTAATTAACGAAGCAAAAACCGCAGGGAAACTGAAAACAATTAAGGATTTCTTTATTCCTTCCAACTTTAACCATGTGATTGATGCAGTCAGGTCTGTGGCTGGATATGATGAGGAAACAAATCAATACAAGACTCCATCCTTGGCCCTCAAACTCGGCCATAGCCTCAGAAAGCTAGCAGATATTCTTGAATGTGACTCAAAAATGGAGCATTGTGTTGATGAACTATTTATTAAAAACCTCCAACGAAGCCGGCTGCTTTTTGAGAAGAGGTGGGACGTCTGTGTTTCTTCTGCTGCCCTACAGACCCTCCGGCAAGCCAAGTGGAACACTCCGGACCTGCTCCCTCTGACTGAGGACGTTAGAGCCATGCATGCACATAACGAGGTATGTCGACCTGAATATGTGCAAACCCTAATAAGTGAGCCAACGTCTAAGCATTGGTCTAAACTGGCAGTTTTGACTCTTTGTGAGGTCATTATTTTCAATCGAAGAAGGGAAGGTGAGGTTTCAAAGATGCCACTGACAGCCTTTACCTTAAGAAGTAAGACTGGGATCCATTCTGACATTGCTCTGGGACTGTCCCAACTTGAGAAAAAGCTGTGTCAGCATTTTCAACGCATTGAAATTAAAGGGAAAAGAAGTCGGAAAGTGCCGGTTCTTTTGACTCCTGAAATGATTGCTTGGATGGAGGTGCTGGTGGAGAACACAAGGGCCTGTTCCATCTCTGACCATAACCCATACTTCTTCTCCCGCCCGGGCGCAGACACCCACATCAGGGGATCAGACTCCCTACGGCAGGTAGCCAAAGAATGTGGTGCGGTGCATCCAGAGATGCTATCCTCAACCAAACTTAGAAAGCACATAGCTACTATGTCTACAGTTCTCAATATGAAAGAGAATGAGATGGACATACTTGCCAACTTCCTCGGCCATGACATTCGCATCCACAGACAATATTACAGACTACCAGAGGGGACACTGGAGCTGGCCAAAATCAGCAAAGTGTTGATGGCCATGGAGCAGGGAAGAGTGACGGAATTCAAAGGAAAGAGCCTCGACCAGATACAAATTGAGCCTGAAGGTAATTCTTGATATTATTAAAATATGTATGATTTTTTTCCCCTAAAGGCCACTTGTATTTTTATTTTCTGTGCGACAGGGAGAGCAGTAGAGATCCTCTCACAAACGGACGGGCTAAAAGAAACTTCAAGCGGAGAACCTTCAACCATTCATCCAGATGCACCCCATCAGTGGCGGCTGGTGGAATTTTCTAC